TTGGTGTGTACTGCAAACTGTTATCAACAATATCACAGATGACACAAACGTGGCTCATTGTGCAAGTGGTGAAAACCCCCATCAGTCCCGTTTACCGCTCCCTGTCAGGACCGACACGTGCTCGCCTACGCTTGAGCTGGTGGCATGAACAACAGTAACGCGGCCACGCGCTCAGTTCTATCTAACTGGTGGTTTTGGCAAGGCCCAGAGCATTGTGCACACAATGTGGTGGTCACATGACATGCAAGGCATGATGGGGAGCTGTGCCTTCCTGGTGTTTGTGAGCGCACCTTTGTGTCAGAGATAAGAAAAAAACCATCACGGGTTTATTTGTAGGTCAGAGTCAGCGTCTATCCCTGCTCAAACGCGCCATAGGGGGGCACATCTCTCTCTCTCTCTCTTGGTGGCCCTGGCTAGTGGTGGCAATTCCACATGCCCATGGCGAGTCTAGGATGTTCATAGGATGACCACTTTTGATTTTCCAAATTGGGCCTCACCGATCCTGGAGAGATGTTGGGATGAGTTGACGCTCGACCGGGATTTGAACTCATCCCGTTTCGGGTGACCACATCCTCACCACCGACGCGGCGAAAAATCATCCGAGCCACTGGGGCCTCCTTTGCTGCAATCACGCCCGCCACCATCACGGACGAGAGGGGATTTCACTGTAACCGTATATTATTTAAACATTTTCCTCCGTAATTACTGAACTTTTTTCGTGTTTTCACAGCTTGAGTTGGCCCGAGTAGATCCCAATTCCTCATCGCGCTCTAAACGGACTCTTTGTGCACACGGGGCATGTGGTGGAGAGCAGTGGGTGTCTTGGAGGCTGGCTGCTTCTTGGACACTCACCACACGCGGAGCGGTCACCACAAATGTGCCAAAGGAAACACCGGCTACTCCCGCAGTGGCGTTATCACTTTGATGCGCAACCAACGTAAACGGCACTTTTGCAGCCTGGGCAGGGTTGCCACCTGTTCGGGTTCGCTCCGGGACAAGTGTAAAATCGACCCGGACAGTCCAGAATTTCTCAGGCCTGGTACCGGTGTCGCTGCGTTTAACTTCATTGCGGCCAACCGCACGTGCAGTTTTAATGACAGAGCCAGGCTGGCTGAGAAATTCGCTCTCATTTTGCTCTGTAGTGGAAAGGCGGTGACCCTGAGTCCGCATGCCTCTGCGTCCACCGCTTGTGTCTCGGGTGAGGGACGCTGACGACAAACCACGAGGCCCCTCTGTCTGCGGGAGCGTCTGCCGTGCCGTGGCAGTGCAGCCACACGAACGCACTGGGGCTCGGCACCTTCTTGCTGTAAACATGGGCCATGGAGGTTTTTTTTATTTTAGGAGGGCAAGGGGGGGGGGGGCTAAGTAAATTCTCCATAAAATACTTCATCCGAGAATGAGCTTATTTGTGAGCGTCAAGTTTAGGTAAAACAGTCTACTTTCACAATCCCATAGCTCTCACTTTAGCTGCAACGACGCAGCAGAAGGCGCCTCTCTCTGTGTGTGTGTGTGTGGATGTGCGTGCCGTGTCCGCTCTCAAGCATTCCTGCTTAGTCCGATTGTGTGAGTCGCGTGTGAGTCTGTGTCGCGGTGTGCGTCGTGAGTGGTGGCGCAGTAGTACAACCCCGGTGGCCCGAGCTCGAATCCCGCTCACGGCCAACAACCAGTGACGATTGTCTGAACCGGTCCTGGGACTCCCTTAGGTCGACTCAGCCTCAGATGAGTACCTGGTGCGGTGTGTAAACATCGCCACTCGGGAGACAAAGGCAGTAGGGCGTGGTGCTGGCCGTGTCGGCCTCCAAAAGTGCACGATAGCACCATCTTGCCCCCAAAAAGTCTGCGAAGGCTACAAGTGGAATGTTTGTCTTTGTTGCAGTGTGTGACTGTGAGTCTGCGCACGCGTGTGTGGCCGTCCTACGCGTGTGTTTCTCCAGATGTCTAACACTGCTTGGCAGAAACAGGAATTGCTCAAAGCCAGCAATTGCACAAAGCACACAGAGCCGCATGAATAACGTGCACAGAAATATCCACCCTCGCCACACCCAGGTATAATCATTTTTTATAAAATATTTTTGAGCGGTCATAAATTACTCATTACGACAGTCATAAATTACCGCGCATAATATGCTCCTATGTGCGTTAACGTGAGTATTCCAAATCCTCACGATCAACCAAGGACATCCGTAGCCTCGTCCACGCGTGCAGGCAACGTAGCTTTGCGGTTCAACAGGGACGCAGTGGCAGGGAATGGAGGTGCGTGGTGCACGTGTCAAACGCAGCGTCACGTGGCTCGCACGGAGGGCTTGTGCCAGGTACAAAAAAAACCCACCTCTCTTCTTCACAAATATATGATTAAAACATTTTTATTATGTTACTTATATTCTGCCCAACGACAAGTCTTCTGTGCTGCGTATTCCGTAGTTTTGCTTTGAATTCGGAGCCATATCGAACAGGGAGGTATCGTTGCTTTTCAACATCTGGCAGTTCACGGGCATTGATTCGGGCAATCCCGACTTCCACCCCAACACAAGATCCAGACGATGCATGCGACTTGCAGCTGCGTCTCTCCAACAGTGCCTCTGTTCCGTTCGGCAGACGCTGCTGCGCGCCGAGCCTTGGCTCAGCTCGTGGTTTGCCAGTCCAACGTTCGCGGATCTCTTCATCGAGATCTGCAGTAGTCGCTTGTAGTTCACCTTCATTGCCAGTATTCACAACCTGCTTGGAGGGTTGACTCAACTCATCATCCCTCCATTCGGTGTCCATTCAGTAAGCTCCAGTGGTTGTTCTGTGGATATACTCACCCCCGCCATCGGAACGTGGCATTTCCAATGCTCATTCGAGCAGGAAATCACTAAAAACGTGTGGAATCGAGCTCTGTTCCTTCTGGAATCGCATCAAAGCACAAACACCAGCTGATGCAAATGTGAAATGCAAAGTTATGGGATACTGATATCGCGATAATCGTCATGTCGTGAAATTAATATCGACTCGTTAAAAATCGCGATGGTGGCCAGACGAGTCTGGAGACGCGAGTGTGTGGGGAGCAGTGGTCGTGCCGTTCTGCGTTGCACGTGGCTGCCGTGACCCAGCACTGGGGGTTGGTGTATCACCGCAGATGTCGGGAAACTCCCTTCCCGAGGGCGTTGAGGAGGATACTTCATTCTAGATTTGAAGCTTTCGTGACTGCAAGGATTTATACTCTTAGGCTTTTTCGGTAAAGTCACGTAGGTAGAAAATATAGGTGAAATTCCTCCCCGTAGAGGGTATTAATTCTAGATTTGAAGCGTTCGTGACTGCAAGGATTCATACTCTTAGGCTTTTTTGGTAAAGTCACGTAGGATACTTCACTCTGGCTCGCCAGGAGAAGACGGCACAGCAAAACGCGGACTAGTCCCCATGCTCTTTGGTTTTTTCGGTAAAGTCACGTAGGTAAAAAAAGGAAAATAAATGAAATCACGACGTTTCGGAGGCAACACAAGCTTCCGTCTTCTGTGTTGCCTCCGAAATGTCGTGATTTAATTTATTTTCCTTTTTTTACCTACGTGACTTTACCGAAAAAAAAAAATAGTATGGATCCTTGCAGTCACGAAAACTTCAAATCTAGAATTAGTCCCCATGTGTTCCATTATGTGTGCGATAGAGATCCATATTCTTGGGTTTACCTACGTGACTTTACCGAAAAAGCCTAAGAGTATGAATCCTTGCAGTCACGAAAGCTTCAAATCTAGAATTAGTCCCCATGTGTTCCATTATGTGTGCGATAGAGATGTCGGCCCCCTCGCACGTGGGGGGGATTTCTCCTGGCGCCGCGGTTTCCACCTATGAACGGTTGTCGATTGGCTGAAAGCATCTTAGTGTAGGATCCCAGAGCTTGGGCAGTTCTTGGGAGCGCCGGCTCACCGTTTGACCCCTGCGGCCTTCCCGCTCGTCTGTGCATCGTCGGCGATCGTGAGAGATGTAAATGTTGCACGCGTTGCGCACGACGCGACGAAATGAAGAAGCGAGCACGTAGTGAATATCGCTCCTCTTGTTAGGCGCAGAATTCCGCCACCACTCAGCGGTGACGACACAAAGCGACCCGGGTGCTGCCGGTCACGTGACTCACGGCGTGCGCGCGCGACACTCGCCAACGCGTGCACCACACCCCGCTGCGTGCTAAAAAAAAGACAAAGATCTCCCGTGTAGCGTTCGAACGCCGTTGGGGCAAGTGCTGTTGGCGAGCACCTATGAAGAACGCCAACGCGGTACACGAACGGGCTGTGGGTGGCTTTGCACCATACCCGGCCGCCTTTGTCTCCCCAATACTGATCTTTAGACCGCGCACCAGCTACTTATTTATGGCCGAGTCCGCATAGGGGAGGCCCAGCACCGATTCAGATGTTCATTATTCAGATGTTGGCTCTGAGGGGTTCGTAGCGCAGTGCGCTAATCACCACACTATCAAAAAGATCCCCCATTATAGCATGAACAGGCTGTTGGGGCAAGTGCTGCTAGCGAGCACCTATGAAGGTCGGCACGGCACACGAGGGGGTGGGTGGCCAACACCACCCCCGGCCGCCTTTGTCTCCCTAGTGGCGATGTTTACACACCGCACCAGGTACTCATTTGAGGCTGAGTCGACCAAAGGGAGGCCCAGGACCGGTTCAGACAATCGTCACTGGTGTTGGCTATGAACGTGATCCGAACTCGGGTCTCCGGGTTCGTAGCGCAGCGCGCCACCGCCGACTCGATCCAGTCGCGCTAAACACCAAACTATCACTCACAGAAAAAAAACACAGATACAACACACGCGAACGCACACAACACAACACACACGCACGCGCGCGCGTCCTCAGTGCCAATGAGGGTGGTGGTGGTGGTGGGCGCGCGCGTGCGCTTGGCACGTGTCGCGCCGGGAGGTTGACAGGGGCCGGGTGACCCGTGGGTGGGGGGGGGGAGGGCGCAAGCGGCGGTGCCTTTAAAAGCGCGCGGCTCACCCAGCGAGACGTCGACTCATCCGGTGCTCGCAGCCCCCCTCGCCACACACCCACACACACTCACCCACCAGCTCGCACATCCCACTCGGGGCTGTCTCAGCGTGCGCCATGGCACGTGCGATAGGAGTCATCCTCTTGGTCTCTACCTGCCTGCAGTCTTCCTTGCAGAAAGGTACGTGTGGTGGGGGTGGTGGTGGTGCCGGGCCCGATACACACGCACAGGTACGCGTGCTGGGTTAAGGCTGATACACACGCACAGGTACGTGTGCTGGGTTAAGGCTGATACACACACACAGGTACGTGTGCTGGGCTAAGGCTGATACACACACACAGGTACGTGTGCTGGGTTAAGGCTGATACACACGCACAGGTACGCGTGCTGGGTTAAGGCTGATACACACACATGTGCTCGTGTAGGGCTAAGGCAGATATAGGTAGGCTTGCAGGGCTAAGCCTAATACACACAGGTACGTGTGCTGGGCTGAGGCTGATGCACACACAGGTACTCGTGTAGGACTAAGGCTGATACACACAGGTACGCGTGGTGGGTTAAGGCTGACACGCATTGGTACGCATTCAGGGTTGAGGCTGATATACACAGGTACGTGTGCTGGGCGAAGGGTGATACACACACGAGTATTGCGCGCGGAGTGTGAGTGAGTGTGATTGAATGTGAGTGATTGAATGAGTCTGGGTAAGTGTGAGTGAGTTTACGTGAGTGAGTGTGAGTGAGTGTACGTGAGTGAGTGATTGCGAGTGTACGTGAGTGTGAGTGAGTGTACGTGAGTGAGTGTGAGTGAGTTTACGTGAGTGAGTTTACGTGAGTGAGTGAGGGAGTGTGAGTGAGTGAGTGTGAGTGAGTTTACGTGAGTGAGTGTGAGTGAGTGTGAGTGAGTGAGGGAGTGTGAGTGAGTGAGTGAGTGATTGCGAGTGTACGTGAGTGTGAGTGAGTGTACGTGAGTTAGTGTGAGTGTGAGTGAATTTACGTGAGTGAGTGTGAGTGAGTGAGAGTGAGTGAGTGTGAGTGAGTTTACGTGAGTGAGTGTGAGTGAGTTTATGTAAGTGTGAGTGAGTTTACGTGAGTTTACGTGAGTGAGTGTAAGTTAGTTTACGTGAGTGAGTGTGAGTGAGTTTACGTGAGTGAGTGAGTGAGTGTACGTTCTCTCTCCCCCTGGACTGTATAGATTTTCTCCGAGTTCTCCGCGTTTCTCCCACAGCTAAAACACACACACATATATCATGTAACTTGTATTGGCCAAAACACATCCCATTCTGAGTAACAAATTACTCAATTGAGATTCCACTGCACACGGCAGCAGCGTCTCCCCCTTGCCGCGACAACCTGGCAGGACCCTTCTAAAGAAGAGTCTGAGACTGGGTGAGTCTTTCCTGAGTAAGCAAGTGTACTAATGATGTCATTGTATCGTCTTGTCGTTTACAGGAGTAGGAGGGCCGTTTGCACCTGCGTTCGGAGGAGGTGAGTGTTTCAATCACGATCTTTAGAATGGCCACAACTCACTCCATCTCTGAATCCGTCTACGGAATCACTTTCCGCTGCTAGGGGTGCTAACAACAGCCACAAGTGCCATGATAACGTAACACCTCTCTACTCTATGATTCTTTCGGTAAAGTCACGTAGGAATATAAATAACATCTCTCCGTGTGGTCGCGCAATGCCGAGGCCAGGTGTAGCGGCTTATAAGGGATAACGGCGAGACTGGAAAATGTGCGTAACGACGCATCAAATTGATCGATTTAACGCGGATTCTTAAGGGTCACAACACGCGCGCCACATCGCGCGTGTAAGAATACCAAATCGACGTTTCCCATCCGTGCAGATGATCCGCTTGATGTTCAATTTAGGGTATTGGGCAGAGCAAAACTGTGCAAATCGGGGAGAGGTTAAAACAAACAAAAAAACACGAAATGAACGAGACATATTCTTTGGGTCTTTCTGTAAAGTCACGTAGATAGGTTGAAATAAAAAAAATTGGTTATTTTCTATTTTGTAATTTTTTTCAACCTATCTACGTGACTTTACCGAAAGACCCAAAGCATACGAATTCCTGCGGTCACGAAAGCTTTAAGTCAACATTTAACCGATACATAAGTGAACGGTTGTAATTGTTTTCAACTGCGTTGCGGCCCGCAATCGTCGATGCCAGGGTTGGGCCTTTTAGGGCGATTGTCTCCGCGTTACTCCGCGCCTCGCGCCAGAGGTCGCAACCGGGTACCCGATACCCGTACCCTACCCGATACCCGGCTACCCGTACCCGGCCGGGTACGGGTACCCGTTTGCGACCCTGGTGCGGCCGGGTACGGGTAGGCCGTGAGTCACTGGTGAGTAACCGTTTGTCACTCATTTCGGGTAGGGTACAGGTACGGGTAGGGAACGGGTACCCGGCTGGGTACGGGTACGGGTACCCATTTGCGACCCTGGTACGGCCGGGTACGGGTACGGGTAGGCCGTGAGTCACTGGTGAGTAACCGTTTGTCACTCATTTCGGGTAGGGTACGGGTACGGGTAGGGAACGGATACTCGTACCCGGCCGGGTACGGGTACCCATTTGCGACCCTGGTGCGGTCGGGTACGGGTACGGGTAGGCCGTGAGTCACTGGTGAGTAACCGTTTGTCACTCATTTCGGGTAGGGTACGGGTAGGGAACGGGTACCCGGTCGGGTACGGGTACGGGTACCCATTTGCGACCCTGGTGCGGCCGAGTACGGGTACGGGTAAGGAATCAAACCCCGTTTGTGACCTCTGCCTCGCGCCCCTCTCGTCGCCCGCGTTCTCGCTGTGCGCTCACCGCCGTGTTTCGCGTGCGCAGGAGGAGCGCAGTACGGCAACGGCGGTGGTGGCAATGGTGAGTAAGAACGCGCACACGTCGCCGCCGTTGCGAGGGAGAGGGATGCGTCTCTCCGGCACCGTTAACGCTTTGACCGTCGTGAATGCAACGGGGCCTGCCCGTCGGATGAAGGTTGCGCGTGCTTTGGTCGGTGCTGTAAAATCAGTCAGCAGGACGATGTTTGCAGTTGAAGGTGGATTCCTGGGCAGAGCGGGCGGCGAGGCCTTCATCGGGAGGTCATTTGCCCCTGACAGCTCTGACCGCTCACATTCTGTTCGAAGCACACGCGGCTGATTTCTCCAATGTGCCAGAGTGGCCGAACGTTGCATGTAACCGTTTTGCTTCTGATTCATCTCTTCTCTTCACGTGCAAACTTCTCAAAGGGGGAGGTGGTGGGAGGGTGGGTGGGGGCTCTAATTTCAAGCTTTTAAATAGGGCCCTACATCGATAATATTTTTTATTAAAATAAAAACGAGACGTATTTTCCTAAAATAAATAATCATCAAATACGAACGTTCGAAGTCTCCGCGAGTGGAGTGAGGCGGGCAACCACCCACATCGCTTCGCCTCCCCCCCCCCACCTTGGATCAATCACCGAAGCCCCCCTCTTGCCAGCAGCCGATTGCTGCCACCGGCCAATTCAAACAGCCCCCCCCCCCCCCCCACAGTTCCATCTTGCGTTCTCTCGTCCTCTCCCACGCCTGCCCAGCACGTGTATCTTCCGCGCGCTACCGTCGGTGCCCACGTGAGCTTTAGCACCCGACTCGTAACGGCAGAACGCTCGCTTCACCTCTTTGTGGCCACCGTTGGTTGGTGCGCTGGTGCTCGTCCATTGTCACATCCAGAGCCGGAGAGTGATCTCCTGCAGCTCACACGGACATTGCGGCCATTGGTGCTCATCTTCCGTTTACAGCCCTGCAGAGCCAGTGGTGTAATTCCACATTCCTGTGGCGGGGGGCAAGTCTCTGCATAGGACATTGTCACATTATAATTCCTGAACCTCAACCCACAGCTCCTAAGATGTATCATTTATTGGCAGAGCTTTGGCGTCACACTTTGAGATGAACACTGAACAGCGCTGACGTGTGACTGGGCCATGCTTGTACGTGTGTGTGTGTGTGTGCATGCTTGTCTAAGTGTGGGTATGTTGCATGTGTTCCCCAGGTTACGGTGGCCCACCAAACCCACATGCTTTGAAGGCTGGAGGTAAATTCAGCGTTAAATTACAATTTTCTGCATCGTGTTTTATTCACTTGAAAATTTCACCTGGAACAATCCTTCAGATTGAACATCTCATTTGCAAGGGTGTCCTGGGGTAATTAAACGTACTGGTCTAGTTGCCAAGATATAAAAAAAATAGGGCAGCAAGGCGACAGTGCAGTGGTAACACTGGTGCCTCACGGCAAGAAGGGCCTGCGTTCAATTCCGACTTGGCCGCCTTTCTGTTACAATGGAACTGATATTTGGCAAACTGCCCAATGCTGAAAAAATTACACTACAAATTACTTAATTGGGATTGCACACAGCGGCAACAATGCCCCCTACTACAAAAAAGTTGACATGACTCTCCTAAAACGTAGTCTTGAGACTCTGTGAGGCTTCCCTTTTTAGGAAATCAGAATCTTGAAATGTGTAAATCAGGTGGCAATATCTAAGCGTGGTACATGGTGATTGCACACCTGCTAACCTTCTCTCTCGTTTCATCAGGATATGGTCAAGGGGCAGGAGCTGGGCTTCCTTCAAGAACAGCTGGCCCTGGGGGGTACGGTCAAGGGGGTGCTGGACCTGGGGGGTACGGCCCAGGGGCAGGAGGTTACGGTCCAGGGGGAGCAAAGGCCGGTAACGGTGCAGGCGCAGGCAGGCCCAATGGATACGGCCCAGCGCTAGGAGGGCCAGGGGCATTTGTGCCCAGGGCAAGGCCAAGTGTGTACGTTGCTGCGCCAAGTAGAGCTAATGGATATGGTCCAGGAGGAAGCAAAGCTGGTGGTCCAGGAGCTGGGGGACCTGGGGGTTATGGTCCAGGAGCAGGAAGGCCTGATGGCTATGCACCAGCAGCAGGCGGGCCTGGTGGCTATGCACCAGCAGCAGGAGGGCCTGGTGGCTATGCACCAGCAGCAGGAGGACCTGGTGGCTATGCACCAGCAGCAGGAGGGCCTGGTGGCTATGCACCAGCAGCAGGAGGACCTGGTGGCTATGCACCAGCAGCAGGAGGACCTGGTGGTTTTGGCCCAGCAGCAAGTAAAGCCGGTGGTTATGGTCCAGGGGCTGGGGGACCTGGGGGTTATGGTCCAGCAGCAGGAGGACCTGGTGGCTATGCACCAGCAGCAGGAGGGCCTGGTGGCTATGCACCAGCAGCAGGCGGGCCTGGTGGCTATGCACCAGCAGCAGGAGGACCTGGTGGTTTTGGCCCAGCAGCAAGTAAAGCCGGTGGTTATGGTCCAGGGGCTGGAGGACCTGGTGGCTATGCACCAGCAGCAGGCGGGCCTGCTGGTTATGCACCGGCAGCAGGAGGGCCTGGCGGTTATGGTCCAGCGGCAGGCGGGGCTAATGGATATGGCCCTGGGGCTAGTAAAGCGGCAGGAGGACCCGGCGGTTATGCACCGGCAGCAGGAGGACCTGGACAGTCTGGTCCAGGGGCAGGAGGAGCAGGCGGGAATGGGGCTGGAGGTAAGCCTAACGGACATGCCCCAGCAGCCGGTGGCCAACCTGGCTTTGCACCAAGGCCTAGTGCATTTGGTCCAGGGTCAGGGGGACCTGGATCTCATCCAGGAGCAGGAGCTGGTGGGTATGGACAAAAGGCATCTGGCTATGCCCCAAGGGCAGGGGGACCTGGTGGTTATGCTCCAGCTGCGAGGAGGCCGAATGGCTATGCCCCAGCGGTAGGGAGGCAAAACGGATATGGACCGGCGGCAGGGAGACCTGGATATGGTCCAAGTTCCGGAGGAGCTGGAGGACCTGCCCCAGGTGACCAGAAGCCAGCAGGTGGCCAGAAGGCAGGTGGTGCTGGTGGGTACGGACCTGGGGCCGGAGGAGCAGGATACGCGCCCGCAGTCGCAACTCGCTCACAGTTCTACATGAAGCTCTCCTCTAAGTGTTCCCAAAGGAGACAACTCGGTAAGAGTGCGTGAGACGCGCGTCTTGTGAGTGGCTGTGAGTGTGTGTGTGGCATTCGTGTTCACTTCTGATGCGCGATAGAAATTCCGGCCCAATGCCTGCCGTAGTCTGCCACCTGCCCTGCTCTGCTCTACCCACTGCCCCATCTGCGCTTGCCCAATGCCCTTCCCTCTTCCGCACTTGGCTGCTCCCAAGTCCAAACTCGTTCTGTTCGGCCGCCTACGGGCGGCGGCGTCGTGATGATGTGCAGCCTCATGATGCCACCGTACAGGCATTTCAATGCGATGCTCTTCTCACTCTAAAGGGTGCAGGCCAATTGCCTGTTTGAGCACTTGGAATTTTACGTTTTGGAATGTAGTATTCGGGAAAATATTTAATTCGCGACCTGTGCGTGACACTATACGTTCGTGTATTTGTGTGTCCATCCCCCGTGTCCTCGATCAACGCTCATTTGTGTCTCTCCACTGACCCTGCCGCCCACTCTGTCTCGCAGTGACCAATGGCAACGGTGGGTACGGCAGCAACGGTGGCAACGGTGGCAACGGCGGCAACGGCGGCAACGGCGGCAACGGTGGCGGCCGCTCCAACGGTACGTGTGGATGAGGGCCACAGCAGTACTCGTCCCTCACAGCAACACGGGTCTGGGTTCAATTCCCCACTCGGGTGCCTTTTTAAATCCTTAATATTAAGTTCACTTGCTTGCTTGCTTGCGCGCTTACGACCGTGCAAATCTTTCGGTCGTTTTTTAACCCACTTCCCGTGATCCAATCGAGCTGACATTTTGCACACAGACTCGTTGTGCGTGACAATTTATTTTCGTGAATTTTTTTTTCCAAAATTTTCCACTTTTTAGGAAAAAAAAAATTTCACTAACACAATCATATATTTTTCCTAAACACAGAAAAGTATTCAAGAAAACAACAAAAATGCACAATATAAACAATCATACAAAAACTGAAAACCTTATAATCCTTATATACGACTTTCCTTATATTTAATTTAAAATACCAATGTGATAAAAATGAAACTCTTACTCAAGAAAAACAGAAATGAATAATAAAATAAAACCGATGCCACGCATATAAAGGATTTATAGTGAAAAACTTTGTTTTTACGGGTTAATTTTTTCTGTGTAGAGTTTGTATTCATCTTCTTGGTTCTTTCGGTAAAGTCACGTAGAATGGAAATAATAAAATAATACAAATAAAACATATTAAATAATTCTCACGACGTTTCTACTCGACAGACCTGCTCTCCACCTGAGGACGGCTGCTTGCGTTGTGACCGAAACGTCGTGAGAATTATTTTATTAAGTTTTATTTGTATTATTTTATTACCTCCCTTCTACGGGACTTTACCTAAAGAACCAAGAAAATGAATCCCTGCAGTCACGAAAGCTTTAAATCGAAATTTAGAGTTTGTATTGTCCCTCCCCCTTTTTCTAGATGGGTTTCCTACGGATTCTCCATTTTCCTACCATAGCTAAAAGAAAACCCAGTATTAGCCAGGCCTCGCAATGCTGAAAATTGTACACTGCTAATTACTCAATTGAGTTTAAGAGTCTTGAGACACATTGAGGATTTTTGGGTGAACTAGAGAGTAGCAATACTTATTCTTGGGTTTTTTCGGTAAAGTCACGTAGGTAAAAAATTACACTTATCAAAGTAAAATAAAATAAAAATCACGACGTTTCGGAGGCAACACAAGCTTCCGTCTTCAGGTGGAACCGTCACAGCACGATAGCTGTCGTGATTTTTCTTTTATTTTTTATTTTACTTTTATTAATTTTTATTTTTTACCTACGTGACTTTACCGAAAAAACCTAAGAATATTAATCCTTGCAGTCACAAAAGCTTCAAATCTAGTAGCAATACGACATAATCCACAATTATACACGATTGCACATGTGCACACGCATGCAGTACGGTACTATAACATCAAACGGACTCCACGCAAGTCGCCAGGGTGGATCCACTTGAATGTGTCCAGTTCTGGTAACACGTGGGTCAGGCTGGAGGCGCGCGTGTGAACGTCTGTGTGGACGCTGCGTCGTGTCAGTTCAGTTTGAGGACCACGTGGTCTCCGTGTGCGATTTCGTTGCAGGCAACGGTGCTGGAGCCAATGGAGCGAAACCTTGTAAGTGCGCCGCCTCGAACCGTAAACACGGCAATGAGCACTCACAGTCGTCCTACTCGTGCTTATATGCGCTTCTCTAACACGGCACTTCGTACACTTGAACAAACATGAGCTTAATATTCTTGGTTCTTTCGGTAAAGTCACGTAGAAGGGAACTCATCATCAGGTGATGATGATTGCTTGTGTTGCAGTCGAAACGTCGTGAGAATTTTTATTGTTTTATATTTATGTTATTTTATTATTTCCCTTCTACATGACTTTACCGAAAGAACCAAGAATATAAATCCCTGCAGTCACGAAAGCTTTAAATCAAAATGAGCTTCATAGTTGGCATGCATATGTTGTTGACTTCGGGTATCTACGCGTTAAGTATACCTAATTAAGGACACACGTAAGCAGCATTTGTGTGTAGAAATTTTGTTTCAGACATTCAAAGGGTACTTTTGAGGTGCCCTGAAACGGCCAGCACTCAGCACCCTGTAACTCCCTGAGACCTGCATGAAGTCACCTCGATATCGATTATTTAATACCACACCCAGAATAAACTATTATGCTCACATATTTAACCATACTGAGCACAAACTTAAAAATGTTAAATCAACTTTACCAGGGGCGGTTTCTTCATTAGGGCGATTGGGCGACGCACCACCAATGTCATTCAACCACAGAGTCACGCTAGCCGTCACTGTGCCTCTGGATATAGTCCAATCAGCGTCATGCTACGTTCTGTGGAGTACCGCCTCTTTTTGGGCGATTTCCCTCCAGCTGAGAATCGCCCCGAGTGGCCCCATAGACTTACATTCAAAGATGTTTTTTTTCGAACAGGGGCGCTGCAATGCATTCTCTATGGCTTCCGGGAGGGCTCGCCCTAACGTGCTTACGTCATCATACGTGCTTACGTCATCATACGTAAGCACGTTTCATCCAACAATATAATTTGTTGCCACCTAGTGGAATCTTTAATAAAATAAACTTGAGTGGTTTGTTTTAATAGTGAGTATAGAAACAAACAAGATGTATTGTAAGAGTCACTTTATTTTTCATTAATATTAAAGAAGTGAAGTTGCCTTTACATGCTTAAGCTGTTAATTTATCCATTGCATGGGTGGACCTTATCCTTATCAATCATCCAGACATTTGCCCCCCCTGAGAGATTTTGCAGGAGCCGCCACTGAACTTTACGTTAAACTGAGCACAGGTTGTGTTAAACGCAGCAACGCTCGGATGTACATGGAGTGTCTTGGTGGGTCTGTGTGAGTGCGTTACCATAGAGGTACAGCCGTTTGATTCTGTTCCATATTAGCAGAGGCTAGAGAAGGCCTTTATCCAGCAGTAGATTGGCCATGGATGATGATGATAATTTACAGTCATTGTTGACCCAGCGAAGCTTCTTTCAGCATCGTAACTCATTTTGTGTTTTTACAATGATCTCGCTTGGGACGTTTCCACAATCTACTTGTATCTCTGCGTGTGTGAGCAAGCCAGAGAAGTCCCGTATGTGTGTGTGATGGACGACCACTCAGACTCCGCTCACACATATCAACAACTCGTTTGCAAAACCACCAGGGAAAAACACGAAACAACGTTTGGCCAAGATTAACAAACATCTTCGAATATCCACTAAATGTGTCGTGCAACATATTTCCTTCGTCAAATTTTGTCTGCATGTCTGTCTTTCAATAATGCTACCAGACCCTTTGACCACACCCTTAGGCTATCTTCTCTGTTCCTCAAACCGTTTCACTTTTTTGGCAGATGGAGGACCTCAGTCGACGCCGACAGCAGCCCTGGGAGGAGGCCCGGGAGGAGCGCCGGGAGATCACTACGGAGCCAAGGCCGGAGGGGCAGGGGCAGGGCCCGGCCAGGGAAAAGGCCAAGGCTTGGGTTCTCCTGTCGGGGCAGGCCCAGGGATAGGGGCAGGGGCAGGCCCAGGGGCAGGCCCGGGGGCAGACGCGGGGGCAGGCGTGAAGGCAGCTAAGACATCCTACGGTGGCAATGGATACGGCAATGGCCAGGGAAATGGCCACAACAACGGATATGATAATGGCAATGCAGAGGAATATTCAAATGCTCAGGCTATTGTTCAGGTTAATGGATATGCAAACGGTTACAAAAATGGAGAAAAAGGATCCACAAATGGGAATGGGAATGCTAATGGCAATGGAAATGGAGCTGGATATTCGAATGGCCAAGCGAATGGACATAGCAACGGCCACGCCAATGGGAATGGGAATGGTTATGGGGCGGCCCCTGCTGAGGCAGGTTACGGGCCAGAGGCTAGTGTAGGTGCCAAGCCAGCCCTCGGTGCCGGCCACGGCTTGGGTTATGGGCCTGGTGGGGCTGGTTACGGAAAGAGTAAGCAGTACAAGGGCTAGTGGACACGGCGTGACAAATTCACATATTTCACGTGTAACAATATTCGCATGATCACATTGAGCAGAAGTGTAGTCTGAACAGTTTCACTGTGAAAGATAAACACACACACAGTGACACATCAAATGCATTTTGAACAGTGCTGCGGTGTTTAAATGAAGGTAAATATAACTCGGCATTGCTTCATCGTTTATTTCAGCCATGAATGCTCCTGGGTAAATTCCCAGAAGCATTCTTGCCACAAGCCAATGGGCATTTGTCCGCATTTAAAACAAAATTATACTTTATTTGATACCTAAAGGCAGTCTTCAATCCCAGCAGCATGTGCACAACAAACCCTTTAGATGTGTAGTGTTCTACATCGATAATCCCCATGCACGTTTTCCCACGCAGATGACGGAGTCAGTAGCACAGCACTATCCCGCAGATTTATATTTTTAGATATTTTCAGTTTGATATCCATACAAAACAAAAGCCTGAAATCCAAAAAGTATTTGATATTTCGAGAATAAACATGAAAAGTAATCCAACAATAATGAACCTTATGGCGGTACCTCGGGGTCCCGAATAAATGGAAGTCAAATCGTAACCCCCCTTGGCGCGGATCATTCTGTTGTCGTGTCATGTCCAAGCGCAGCGGGGAGGACGAATGCGCAGAAGAAACACAACTTTGATTAGCGCATCGTGTAGCGCTGGTCGAGAGGAATCGATTTCCGTGCCGTTCGCCTTCAACAGACATGAAATGACGTCGCAACGCAGTTCATGCGAGAGACGGGGGCTGATGACCTACGGGGTCCCGCCATAAGGTTCATATATTTGTAATTTTATTTTCTTATTTTTATTTATCTGTCTTAATTACCATAGTCTCTACGACACAGTATGGGCCTATCGTGTTCAGCTCGAATGGCTTCGGGTAGATAATGCAATCATGATTGTTAAATTTAGCACCCAAATTGTGCCAACCCGTTTTGTTTTTTATGGACCGGTTATAGGCTCTGCGTTACAACCAAATCCCTCGTGTTTTGACAGTCGGGAATATTGCTAGGCTCACAAGTCTCTCGTCATGTTTTGACAACACTTTAGTTCAACAAACTCGTTACATTAATGTGCATAACGCTGCAACAGAAGATTAAATCACAATTTACAAAGTGACAACGGTAATGCGTATAGCGCAGACGTTCATTGCCGCTGGAGAATCCTTCCTGGCCCAGATCACCGTAACCGATTACACTTCTGAAGATCTTGCGCTAGAACTATCCTCATAATCCCAGGTGCTGTGTGGGAGCAACCATTGGCGCTGTGTACAGCGTCGTGGCTTTGTGTCCGTCGGTGTAGTTTTAAAATTCTACAAACAGTGAGGATTGGCGCTTTGCTTTAACCTACCCCTTCAGTTACGTCCTTCAGTGTAAGTATCAGTGCCATGCAACTGATGGCTTACAGGGAAGTGATGTACACCTCTCCAGTTGAGTTTATTTCTTGTGTCACGAGTGTTGTCGGAAACGTTGTGGGTGTATGTCTTGAACACTATCTCGATGTTACACACACACGTGTTAAGTCAAGCAGTCTCTCATGAAGGTAGTTTGTCTTTCAATACTGAAAGGTGCTATGTTACACAAAACGTGTGATCGTGTATGATGCAAACATTTAAAAATTAAAATTAATTAAACGTGTGATTTTTTTTTTAAATGAACGCATGTCGATTACATTAAGAATTGTACATACTGAATGAAATGGTATTCACATTAATGAAAGCAACACTTCTTTCATGAGAGATGCCATTAATTTGGGGGTGCGTTCGGTGCAAAGGTTGTGCCCCTTTGCTCGAGGGACAGACTTGGAGCAGTTGATTCATCCGGCAAAACCGGGCCCTGCTCATTTTTGGTGCTTTTACTCCACAGAATGTTATAGCCCTCGTTCAAAAAGACGAGCCACGTTTACTGCTCACGACCGTGACCGGTGATCCCCCCCCCGCTCCCTGGTGTTGTCTCTAGAGGAAACATACAGCGAGACGAATGCAGATTTGAAAAAAAATATAGATACATTTCGCCAGTTCTGGTGTTTGCCAGTGACTCCTCTGATAAAGCAGTGAATCATGACTCACACGCGCATGTGTGCCTCTCACGTGAAGTGCAGTGACTTGATTGGTAGCAATGTGTAAAATCTCTAAATAAAAGTGTTTGTTTCCAACAACGTCTCAATAACTTTACTTGTCTCCTGGTACAGTGTTTACACGATGACTTGGCCACTATTATAGTTTCAAAGCTTCCCTGTATGATTATTACCCCAACAAAGTAAACGCATGAGCACCCCAAACAATACTCGTTTGGTCAAGCAGACAAGCGCGTTTCATTCAATTTAAAAATATCCGACCGTGAAACTTACAGCAAATCACCGTTTGTTAAATCATCATCCCAAAGCACTCTTATCATCACGCTACAACGACCATCAGCATGAACATGCGTTGTGCTTGTGACAAGACTGGTGTAGTTCTTCAAGTCGTTTTTATGACCCTTTTTGAGTCGCATAATTAACCGAAAAAGAACCTGATGATTCTTGAGCTATGTGAACGTTTCACGTAGGGAACTGCGTCATGAATCATGGTTATACTTTGCCGCGCAAAATATAAATCGTTCAAGATCATTGGGGACAATAACGACAAATGTAGAGGCCAACCAACTTCGGGAACAAGCCGGGTTTAGGAAAGGTTTCTCTACCATTGATAACTCGCAGACTATATTCAACAGATTCTGGAAAAGCCCAATGCATGTCGATATCATTGCGACGTGCCTCTGTAGACTAGGAAGAAGCATTCAAGCTCTCGAAACCCAAGGCCTGAATACGTAATATATATTTTAAAATACTAATTTTAAAAAATTAAAAAACAGAACCACACTGATATTACATAGAGAAAGTACCAACATACACAAAGTGGCGTGCTCTCGCCAAGGTTATGTACAGTGACGTTTGATTTATTTAATGACAATGAGATCAATGGGGAATAACAACCGTGTCAGATTTTTCTGCTGATGTGACAGTGATTATAACGTCAAGTAATAAATGAGCTGCGGGAAATGTAAGAGTGTGTGACCGTTCGAGATCTGTGCTTGTGTGAATGGGTGAGTTTGATGCATTTGCATGCGAGCAAGACTGCAAGAGTTTCGCCAGGTGTGTGTGCTTGCGACGAGGGTTTGGTGTGTGTGTGAGTGTAAGGGGTAGTCGGGTGGTGTTGTAGTCACGATGTAGGATGTAAGAGTACCGTGCCTGTCGGAGAGGGCCATGCTCTTGGTATTAGCAGCGTGAGGCCTGCGGTAAAGAATATCACAGACCTGAGTGAAATATCCCACCCCCCATAATATCCATAATAGAGATCTTTGGGTTAGATCGCGTAAATATAGATGTGTCGTTAAATCCGCCACCACCCGACACAGCCAATTAGTAAGGTTTGTCACGGACACAAAACGTGGCAATTCGTTACGAGTACAGCACACCGGTGTGTTGGAGAGTAAACCCGCAACATTTACCATTCGAGCAGGGGCGGTTTCTTCATTAGGGCGATTGGGCGACGCACCACCAATGTCATTGAACCACAGAGTCACGATAGCCGTCACTGTGCCTCTGGATATAGTCCAATCAGCGTCATGTCACGTTCTGTGGAGTACCACCTCTTTTTGGGCGATTTCACTCCGGCTGAGAATCGCCCCGAGTGGCCCCATAGACTTACATTCAAAGATGTTTTTTTTCGAACGGCGGGCGCTGCAATGCATTCTCTATGGCTTCCGGGAGGGCTCGCCCTAACGTGCTTACGTCATCATACGTACTAACGTCATCATACGTAAGCACGTTTCATCCAACAATATAATTTGTCGCCACCTAGTGGAATCTTTAATAAAAGAAACATGAGTGGATTCTATTAATAGTGAGTATAGAAACAAACAAGAGATGTATTGTAAGAGTCACTTTATTTTTCATTAATATAAAGAAGTGAAGTTGCCTGTACATGCTTAAGCTGTTAATGTATCCATTGCATGGGTGGACCTTATCCTTATCAATCATCCAGACATTTGCCCCCCCCTGAGAGATTTTGCAGGAGGCGCCACTGCATTCGAGTACGACGTTTCGCCAGTAAATACAACTAGCATTATCAGGCGACAGCCAGAGTTGCGGAAAAATCCTCCTGTTTCGTTCCTTAAATAGAGGAGATAACGGTGATGTCGTCACTTGTGAGCCAATAAAGTGCGATGGCCAGAGAGAGGGGGGGGGTAATGTATGCATACAAATTACAATGGATATTACAATGGATATTACAATGGAAACCTGGCAGGACCCTCCTGAAAATGAGCCTTGAGACTCGGGGAGGTAAAAAATAATACGGTATCGATTACCGTTTCGAGTTTTGCCTCGAAATAGGACCCGGGCTTAAAGAGGGCACTTGCATCGCTCGCGGCGTTGATCCCACGCGGTGGCATTGGGCGCTGTGATCAGACGGGTATAAGGGGCCGTCCATAAATGACGTCACGCGATTTTGGACGATTTTTGACCCCCCCCCCCCTCGTCACACGGCGTCCACAAAAAGTCAGACCCCCCCTCAAATATGACGTCACAAAGCTCTGCCCCCACCCCCCAAAACCATATTACCATTTTGAAATCGCTTTAAACTATTGTAATTGTAGTGCGGATTTAATGTGGCGCTGCACTCTGATGTTGTAGGAGAAAATATTTATTAAATAGTCTATTTAATTAAGTAGAACGTGTTGTCTATATTTATTTAAAGTTGCGCATTTTGATGTGACGTCACACATTGTCACAAATGTCTGACCCCCCCCTAGGTGCGTGACATCATTTATGGACGGCCCCTAACTGTTGTTATAACGATTACATACCGTGTCAACCCATACGACTGTACCCCGTAATTTTGTACATGGAAATTGAATTTTCAGCTCTAGACGGCGTGCAGCCGTTTCAATACGGGCAAAACATTGATTGGTCTCCATATTGTTAAAGTCACGTAGGTAAAAATAAATAATAACAATAATAGATTAATCATAATATAAATAAAATAATATATTTTTTTGATTCTTGATAATATATATTCTCCATATTCTTGGTTCTTTCTGTAAAGTCACGTAGAAGGGAAACAATTAAATCATAAAAATATAAAACAATAAAATCATCAGGTGTGAAATCCACAGCAAGAAAATTAAATCAAAATTAAATTTTTAAATCAAAACAATGTTTGGTCTGTTTCTTAGTGTTTCTCCCTTGTGATGATGGCACTCACATGGGACCATCATGATGTATGTTAACAGCTTCAAAAAGTCTCCACTCGCTCGCCATCATTGTCAACGCGTGCCTGGAATCTTCTCCAGGTGGTCGCCACAACATTTCTTGTGGAATTGTTGCAAATTTTCAAAAGCAATAAAAACATTTCGATTTAAAGCTTTCGTGACTGCAAGGATTCATCTTCTTGGTTCTTTCGGTAAAGTCACGTAGAAGGGAAGTAATAAAATAATAAAAATAAAACATAATAAAATAATATAAAATATTTATTCTTTTAATTTTATTATTTTATAATATATTTATAATTTTTATTTTATTATTTTATAATATAATATATTTATTATTTTTATTTTATTATTTTATTACTTCCCTTCTACGTGACTTTACCGAAAGAACCAAGAAGAAAAATAAAAACATTTATTTTTAAAGCACCCAGCAAAACCACGTGAGTGTAGGAATCGATAGAGGCGATTCCTCGCGCCGGGAATCGAACCGCAAGGCGCCGCGCGCGCCCCGCGGCCTGGCCCGGGTCAACGTCGCAGAGACGGCGCTAGGCGAGGCGCTGGATCCGTAGCGAGAGTGGAGGCGTTAGTTCGTATCGATACTGTTAGTATCGATAGTGTTAGTTCGTATCGATAGTGGAGGCATTAGTTCGTACTGATAGTGGAGGCGCTAGTTCGTGGCCGCTAGTCTCGGCGCTTCGTGTTCAGGAGAAACACGCGGCCCGGCGGGAGAAGCGACTCAAGGTGCAGCCCCGCGAAAGCCGTTCTCACCCTACACACACACAGTCTACATACACACAGTCTACATACACACACCCTACATACACACAGTCTACATACACACACCCTACACACACACACCCTACACACACCCTACACACACCCTACATACACACAGTCTACATACACACAGTCTACACACACACAGTCTACATACACACAGTCTACATACACACAGTCTACACACACACACCCTACACGCACACACCCTACATACACACAGTATACATACATACACACACCCTACACACACACACCCTACACACACACACCCTACACACACACACCCTACACACACACACCCTACACACACACCCTACATACACCAGTAGTATCCACATACATACACACACACCCTACACACACACCCTACATACACACACCCTACACACACACACCCTACATACACACACCCTACACACACACACCCTACACATACACTCCCTACACACACACACACACACCCTACACACACACCCTACATACACACACCCTACACACACACACACCCTACATACACACACACACCCTACACACACACCCTACACACACACACCCTACATACACACACCCTACACACACACACCCTACATACACACACCCTACACACACACCCTACATACACACCCTACATACACACACCCTGCTCACCCTACACACATACACCCTGCTCACCCTACACACACACACCCTGCTCACCCTACACACACCCTACACACACCCTACATACACACACCCTACACACACACACCCTGCTCACCCTATACACACACACCCTGCTCACCCTACACACACCCTACACACACACCCTGCTCACCCTACACACACACCCTACATACACATACACACACCCTACACACACACACCCTGCTCACTCTACACACACACCCTACACACACACACCCTGCTCACCCTACACACACCCTACACACACACACCCTGCTCACCCCTACACACTCGCCCCCTACGCACGCTCACCATAGCCAAAACCACTGACCTTAAACGCCGTACTTTGTAGGCCTGATTTGTTCTCAACAGTCTGTTTTTGATGCACAGGTGAATAGTGGCTTTTCATATCAAACCAAACCATAATACAATTCCAGAGTTTACTGTGAATAAACCATTGCTGCCAAGATGCACTCACAAGCCATGTGGGCTGATGGTTTGTTTGTTTACGCGAGGTGCAAAGAGCCCACATGGCCTGTGAGTGCATCGTTTTGTGTAAACAAATAAACCATCAGCCATCTGTGGAGACATTAAGCATGTTTTTTAAATATAAAAATGTAAACTAGTTGTAGGCGATTTAAATATACTCTCAGCTCTGGGTACAGTGGATCAGAGGTCCCATACTCTTAGGTTTTTTCGGTAAAGTCACGTAGGTAAAAAATAAATAATAATAATAGAAATGATCATAGAAATAAAATAATAAATCACGACGTTTCGGAGGCAACATAAGTGGACACTTGATGCAGTAAATTTAGCTGTGACGGTCCCACCTGATGACGGAGACTTGTGTTGCCTCCGAAACGTCGTGATTTATTATTTTATTTGTATTATTATTTTTATTTTTTACCTACGTGACTTTACTGAAAAAACCTAAGAGTATGAATCCTTGCAGTCACGAAAGCCTCAAATCCAGAGGTCACATGTTTGATCAACTATACCTGCTGTGATGTTTTAAATAATATTTGAAAGATTACGTGCAGAGTGCTGAAATTTGGTTTGGCTGTTCGTCAAGACTACAATTCCACAAAATGTCATCAAATTAATTGGAGTTCGGTAAGAGCAGTGTTGATTTGTTATCGTATGGCCTGGATCACAGCAGCATGGAGGCCACTGCGTTGCCAGATGACTGCTCTGTTGCTTATGTGTGCATGTTGAACTTCTTTCGCACCGTATATAGCCAACCGTGCTAATCGGAGGTGCTTAGAAAATGTAATTTTTAGCAAACTACAATGACCCGATTTACTAATTCCACAAACGTCTGATTAAAAAAAGTATAAATACTATTATATGTAAGATATTCTCAGTGTGAAAATTCTAAAATGCAATTTTTTGGAGGCTAATTAAAACTTTTTATTTTAAATGGAATGTTTTTATTGTTATTCCACCCTTTAAGAGTAAAACAAATGCAATGTATAATATCCATCTTCGCTTTTCATTACAACCACATTGAGAACCTTAAGTAATAAGTGTGTTGGGAATGTTCATTCCTTCCGCTCTTTGATGTGTTCACCATCCCCGGTGTTATGTGCAGGTAACGTCAGTATAATGGAGACTGCGGTTGAGACGGTGGCGAGTGAACTGTCGTGCATGAACACTGGACATGACGATGGTGAAAAGGCTCAACAACCCCAAGAGAACGTCGGCGAGGGTGAAAAAGCAGCAAGTGAGTTATCTTGAACACTGTGTTGGCCTCAAATACAGGTAGTCCCCGACTTACGATGGAGATGCGTTACGACGACCCCATCGTAAGTCGAAAATATCGTAAGTCGAAAATGGCCTAGCCTACCCAGGAGTCTTAAAGAATGGTGATAATTTAGCAAAATAGAGCAATTTACAGTACCGTACTGTATAAACTATATGCGTACAGTACATCCCGGCAGCGTCCCAACGTACAGTATCGTACCTCGTACACTGCTGCGTTTGCCTGCCGCGCGAAATGTAAAATATTTTACAATTTTGTCATATCACTATCGCCCATTGTAAGATCGAAATATCGTAAGTCGGATCATCGTAAGTCCGGGGGGACTAGCTGTAATAACAAAAGTCACCTTGTAACGTATCCAGTATTCACTCGCTTTCGATGAGAGAGAATAACTCGGAGGCGTGAGGAATTGCAGACAAGCAGGAAGGCAGTAGCCAGGCGGTGAGCCGGTGCTTCCAACAATTGCCCAAACTCTGTGGCCCTCTATATATTAAGATGCTTTCAGCCAATTCACGAGTGTTAATAAATGTGGGAGGAAACCGGAGCACCCAGAGGGAACCCTCGTGCGCGATGGGGCAGTATCTCTATCCCATACAGATGGATCAAAGATGAGTCCACATTTTGCTGTTCCACCTTCTCCTGGCAAGCATGGCAGGGCACCTCAATGCCCACGGGAAGAGATGTCATAACATTTGTGCGGTCCACTAATCCACACCGTCACAGTTCTAGATTACAAGCGTATGCCACCATCGTCCGAATAAATAATAATAAACATGTAATTGGTATTCAGAGACGATTCTTTATGAGCTGTAAGATAAAAAAAAAATCCATGGCTAATTAGAATGAAACTTTAAATCTCATATCATCAGGGGCCATGCTGTAGTGTATAGCCTCAGTATCTATGAATATACCCAGCATTCACTGTTTTACATCCTATCCTGTATTGCTTGAAATGTATGGCCATCAATTATAATATAATATTCAAGGTTAAGAGATTTCTATGGTCAATTTTGTTAAAATGACCACCTCTCTCCATCCTTTCCCTCTGCTTAATCCCCCAACTGTTGACAAAGTTGGCATCTCCACTCTTCTAATTATTGTGTCATTTCACTTGTAATTAGAAAAATAATTCTCACAACAAAATTTAGCAATTAGATCGGCATTTTGGCAAAAATTGCCCCAGTGATATTTCTGCTTACCAATGTATATGTCATTTATATATCTTCTCTAGGTGACAGTGATTGGTGGATGGGCAGCAGTGATGATGAGGAAATCAAGCCTGGGTGCCCAGACTGGATGCCCAGCCCAGAACAGATTCGTACTCTGTTTGAGTGTATCGCTAAGGAAGTAAGTTTTGCGAATCAATCACAGTAGTTTAACTCCTAACACTCAATACACATCTTCTTGGTTCTTTCGATAAAGTCACGTAGAAGGGAAGTAATAAATAATAAAAATAAAACATAATAAAACAATTATTTTTATTATTTTATTACTTCCCTTCTACGTGACTTTAACGAAAGAACCAAGAAGATGAATCCCTGCAGTCACGAAAGCTTTAAATCGAAACTCAATACACACCTTCATGGAAGATAATGTTTAACGAATACATAATTAATATACACAAAATATCATAATTATGTATAAAATTATGTTATTTTAATCTGTCTTGAACTCCTGGACCAATGTTTCCCAGCAGCCTCTGTTTAAAACCAGGAAGCCTCTGGACTGGCTCTTCTTTCTGGGTGCATGAGTCGAGTCCAGTCTAATAAACAACTGCTGCTCACATGCCAAACGATGTAGATTAGAGCAGTGCCCCCCCCCCCGCCCCCGCCACTGTGTGGGTCATGGGGTTTATTTGTCCATAGGTCATTGCATTGGTCAGTGTGGGTCAATGACAGTAGGGAGCATAGCTGTGGGAGCATAGAAGTAGTACAACAGTGGGGTTTGCTGCACTGCCCTCTGCTGCCCATCACATAGCCCCACATCTGAGTGTAGCCTGTTTGTACAGTAAAACCTTGGATTGTGAGCATAATTCGTTCCGGAAACGTGTTTGTAATCCAAAGCACTTGTCTATCAAAGCACTCGTATATCAGTTGTGATCACGTGACGCTCGGCAGACAAAGCGTATACACGTACTACTCGTATTAAAAGACCTCGCTCGTTTATCAAATTGATATTTATTAAAATAATTTGCTCGTCTTGCAAAACACTCGCAGACCAAGTTACTCGCAATCCAAGGTTTTGCTGTATACGAAAACCTACGTTTTAAGTTCAACAGATGTAAGTTCGTTTAAGGGAAGACCAGTGTGATTAGAGCAGGGAAGGATTGTAGTGTTTGGGTTTGTGTGGTGAGGCAGCTAATTGAGAACCGGGAAAGTCACGACGCACTTTGCATTTTTCGTTCAAGTGCTGTACATGAATAATGTAGCGTACTTGTGTTTTTTTTGAGAATGCAAAGGATCCAAATGAATTGGCTTTACTGCTGTGTTCATCTGTTTGCAGACAAGTTTCATGTTCTGCAATAGCTTAAAACCCTATTATATTAAATGACTTAAGCATTATTAAAATCAATGTAATATCAATTGCATGTGGATAGATGGCAGAGAATATCTATCTCGCCCTCTTTTCCACAAATGTAGCTACCGACATACCTCTGGGCATTGAATTATGGCATCTGTCATAACATGATTTCAGCCTCTAATTTAAAAGGTATTCTAAGCAAATAAATAAGTGAATACCATTAAAAGAATATCATGTTCAGGTTTATTTAGTTTTAAGCTGGTGAAAACTCAAGAGATATGGATAGTCTCTTTGGGACTTTACCATTAAAACTAATATAATTTCAATGTACACTCTGTGTTAAGGGGTCACTTCCACTAAAAATGACACATTTGCCTCGGCGACCGCCCACCCCGGAACCCCAATGTCCGGATGAACCGGAAGAAGAAGGCCGAACAGAGCAGCCAGATGGGCAACAGAGTGAAACACTGGACGGAAAGTAAGTCTCATGGTCACACATCTGTAAAACCCGGCCAGGTTGCTGAGCCATAGAGCGAGTGGCTCGCAATCGGACGGTTGAGAGTTCAAATCTTGGCTGGGGGTTTACTTAGCGCATTAGTCTTCCGGGGTTGATAAAATAAGTACCACCATGTGGGCAAGTCAAAAGTGGTTGCCCTATAGATATATTTTCTCCCCCCTGAGGAATGTCGAATTTCCACTACTGTCTCAGGGCTGTGAACAGGTCATGAGTACCAGTGCCTCAAAGCGAGATTAAGCAGGAAATAAATGTAAAAAAATGTTAACTGCATGTCTGTCAGCGAAATTGGCCCAGTGAATGCCAAATTTGCCTGGAATAATCCAGAGACGTATTGAATACGATTTTGAATGCGACCTCTGTTAAACCGCTAAGCTTTGGCCTCGGTCAAATATCTGTGACTAAAACAATCGCAATTAGTGGGGTGCGCTTGAAAAACCACGCTCCTGCACGTCCCATCTTGACGCCGCCTCGATACTCACAAATGTCATACTCCCATTTACCTATAATGGCTTCACTAACATCATCTTCAAATAAAAATATATACACATTCAGTAATACATATTTATATAACAATTAAATGCTGAGTGGGCTTCTCACAACAGGAAATGGATATGCGTTATGCCTGTTTCCACTGTCGCAATTGTTTTATTCACTATATTTACTGGCTAAACACATGCAATGGAAGCTTAGCGATTGTTTAGTGAAAATGTTTTTTATTTTTTTTTATAAAATACACTCTTCTATTCGTGTCATGTGTGAATGTGCAGGTGTGACACCCCATCAGAATTTGATTTTAACGAGGAACTGACTCCAAAGAAAACCAACGACAAGAAGCTATTCAGTCCACGTAGGACTCCAGGTAATCAGAGTGTTCTACTTTTGTATGGTAACATTTGTCTGCAGTGAAGTGGGGTAATGGGTTCGATATGACGAGATAATTTAAAATTATCTTCAGGCCATTACAAGAACTGCAGGCACGTCACTCCATGCCGAGTCATGCATGTGCCATGATACGGGTGACGCAATAAATAGTGCGTTCATTTAGATATGAATATCACGTGAGAATAATTGATAGTAAGGACGTATACTCGCCGAACCTCTATCAGTAATATTTAGTTTACGTGGATTCATCTCCAACCCACGGCATTGCAGGAGCCTGCCCGCCAACGGGGATGACGCGTGTGACGTTGTAACAGGCAACTCCGGCTTCTGTTTGAGCTCGCGAAGCCAAGAGACACCGGGTAGACAAGGAGCTCCTCTGTGCCTGGGCTTCAAAGGTTGAGCCCAGCAGAAGCTGGATGTGTTTAGTTATGTAAGCACACCAGATAAATGACCGCACCGTGTAATGGAGCAAACCACTTAATCCAGCAATTAATCCTCCAATTCGAACACTTTCTGCAAATGTTGACTCGTCAGATAGAGAAGTGCTTGCATGCAGGCTGAAAACAAAAGGGTGTTCAAAAGTTGGTTTTTGGACAACGAGAGGTGCGTTTGTGACCACTGGATTCAGAGGCAGATCGAGAAACTTTGCAAGAAACTTCTCAGCCTGTATTTTGCAGTTCCCCAAATATCAGCAAGTATATGACTGTGTGGAATGACCAAGTACCCATTCTAAACACAATTAACAAATAGAAGACAGGGTGGGTTCATATTCCACTTGCCACTATTGTGCATGGGCAAGAATTGTAACCAGTTTACAATTTTACAGTCATTTCCATACATGAATGGAGTGATGAACACTAAATTTAACATAAAGGTTTTATCAGCAAATTATGTAAATTAACAGTGAGGATGCAGCAATAGTACTTTAGCTTGACCAAATCCTCGAGAGGTCATGGTTCAAAAACGAACGTCCTTTGGTGTGGGACGTTTTGTTTGTTTAACGTTTTCTGTACAACTGCGGAGCACAGGGATTCTTCATGGTTTTTCGAATTGGTTCCATAAGGTATCGCTGTTTTAAGTGTAATACGGACGTACATGCTTTGTTTATTCCAAGTTCACGTTTGTGATGTTGGCTCGCAGGAAGCGGAGGGCGGATACCGAAGCGGGAGGCCCGTCTGGACAAGGTGCTGTCCGACATGCTGCGCCACAAGCGGATGGACCAGCAGCTTCAGCAGAGATCCAGCCAGCACGGCACTCCCGAACGCGACGCACAAACACCCACCAGCAAGAGAAGCACGTCGTAATTATAGGACAAAAAAGTTTTTTTTGTATTAATGTACAATGTTTTTCTTACTCTTTTTGATTCAATTGAAATAAAATTTATTTTATTATCGGTGTCTCGATTTGTTTATATCTAAATCAGTTTATGTACCTCATTTGCAGTACTGATATTAGTCGTTGCAAATGTTTCAATTGGCACATTTGTTTAGTTCTAGATTTGAAGCTTTCGTGACTGCAAGGATTCATACTCTTAGGTTTTTTTCGGTAAAGTCACGTAGGGAAAAAATAATAATAAAATAATAATAAATCACGACGTTTCGGAGGCAACAAGTCTCCGTCATCAGGTGGGACCGTCACAGCTAAATTTACTGTATCAAGTGAAGATAAATCCAAAAGACAACATCTCTCCTCCCCTTAACCAGTATTTAAGATCTTGTCTTTTGGATTTCTCTTCACATACAGTAAATTTAGCTGTGACGGTCCCACCTGAAGACGGAGACTTGTGTTGCCTCCGAAACGTAATTTATGATTATTTTATTATTTTACCTACGTGACTTTACCGAAAAAAACTAAGAGTAAATTTGTTCAGGTTCATGCGCCGCTGAGTGCGAGACTCGGACGTTCTGCAGCCTTGAGCCTCCACCAGAGCGCGAGACTTGTGCTTGAAACAAACGTAACGATCTCCCCGCAATTCGGGAAGGGTGGCACCCTACCAAGTGGTCATTCCCCGGGCCCAATCCCGGCACGATTTTCCTGGTGGAATGGGGGTGGAGGACCTATCAATAGCGGAACGATGACCCCAGGAGACCTCGTAAATCTGACCCCATGCGTGTCTGTCAACCAGCCTATGTCTGCATGGGCCTCATCTCTTCATATGGGAGTCGGCACCACTCGGAGCCGTGTGTGTTATATATATATATCTCGCACCGTTTCAGTGGCACTGCTTGTGCTGAGATTTTAAAACGGTTGCCAAAGCACAGGTCCAAAATGTGTCACAAGTGGCACTCAAATATTGGAATACACCGAAGCCTTGAACGTCGCAGGGGGTTACGTTCTTGACAAGAGCTGCAATCGGCAATTCCGCGATTCGTCAACTGAGAAGGCAGATGGAAAAAAACGAGGGTTTCGTTCAAGTTTTGTCGTTTCTGTTACTCCGACATCAACCCCAAAGGTCACCATCGTCTCTGCACTGCGTCTCCCATCAGTGCAGTTCTCGCGAGCGATTCGATTCCGCGGATCGAATCGTGGAATCGATTCGGGGGGCAGGGGGGGGGTCACGCCGGTCACGTGACGAGAGAAACGCGCGGGAAACGCGAACTTGTGTGCGGTCCCTCCGCGGTCTCCACATCGCCTCTCTTTTTTTCTCTGCAGCCTCCCTCTCGTCTCTTCCATTGTCTCTGTTGTCTCCACATCGCCTCTCTCTCTCTCTCTGCAGGCTCCTCTCGTCTCTTCCACGGTCTCTGTTGTCTCCACATCGCCTCTCTCTCTGCAGGCTTCTCTCGTCTCTTCCACGGTCTCTGTTGTCTGCACATCGCCTCTCTCTCTCTGCAGGCCTCTCTCGTCTCTTCCACGGTCTCGGTTGTCTCCACATCGCCTCTCTCTCTCTGCAGGCGCCCTCTCGTCTCTTCCACGGTCTCTTCGCCGTAACGCAGTAGGCGGAGTGGTGGAGAGGTAATGGCGAGGTGTGGTGGAGAGTGATGGTGAGGTGTGATCGTGAGTGATGCTGAGGCGTGGTTGGTGATGTGTGTGTGTGGTGATGTGTGTGTGTGTGTGGTGATTGATGTGATGTGTGTGGTGATTGATGTGATGTGTGTGGTGATTGATGTGATGTGTGTGTGGTGATGTGTGTGTGGTGATGTGTGTGTGGTGATGTGTGTGTGTGGTGATGTGTGTGTGTGGTGATGTGTGTGTGTGGTGATGTGTGTGTGTGTGGTGATGTGTGTGTGTGTGGTGTGTGTGGTGATGTGTGTGTGTGTGGTGATGTGTGTGTGGTGATGTGTGTGTGGTGATGTGTGTGTGTGGTGATGTGTGTGTGTGGTGATGTGTGTGTGGTGATGTGTGTGTGTGTGTGGTCATCTCGGTCATCTCGGTCAGTCGACCCGTGGCACCTGGGTCTGCCCCGTGACCTCCTGCCAGCGGGCTTTCGACACTTCACGTGGCCTCAAGGTGCACTTGGCCTGGCACAAGCATCGTGGTGACGTCACCGCCACTTAGTGGCGAATGGCGGTTGTTGTTGTGTGTGGTGATGTGTGCGTGTGGTGATGTGTGTGTGGTGATGTGTGTGGTGATGTGTGTGTGGTGATGTGTATGTGGTAATGTGTGTGTGTATGTGGTGATGTGTGTGTGTGTATGTGGTGATGTGTGTGTGTATGTGGTGATGTGTGTGTGTATGTGGTGATGTGTGTGTGGTGATTGTGTGTGTGGTGATGTGTGTGTGAGGCGAATATTTTGTCTTGTGTTTAACCTGCGGCTCCACGCACACATGCGATGGGCACATGCCTCTTACTACTTGTCAGCTCATCAGGAGCGCTTCGTAAGCAACCACGCGGCACGCAACTTGTTAAAGTGCGGGTTTGCGTAAATCAACATCACTGCCAAAGCTCTGTGTTTCTGCTGTAATCTAAAGGACGGTATGGATGTACTTTATGTTGAACATCTTTCGACGCAACTACTTATTTCAATTGTGGGGCTATGCAAGATGCGACTATTGGCCCCCTCTCCCCCCCCCACTACTGAAACAACTACGGATTTTAAAAATTTATATTCTTTGGGTAAAGTCACGTAGAAACAATTTATTTAACGAAAAAAACTACTAAGTTTTGATCGCAACACAAGCAATCGTCATCAGGATTGCTTGTGTTGCGATCGAAACGTCGTAGTTTTTGGTCATTTTTGTTGTTCTATCTACGTGACTTTACCGAAAGACCCACAGAATATGAATTCCTACAGTCACGAAAGCTTTAAGTCAAGATTTTTTAAAAATAGTTTTCAATAATGTGGGCTATAACCCTACTATTGTAGTTGCACCGTGTATTGGGTTTTGAGGAAGACAGCGTCAATAATCAATATATTTAATGAGACAATACTCAAGTTAGCATGCGTCGTGCTTTCATTGTGGCCAATCGGTCAAAGATTTCGTCAAAAGGAGATAGTTGATCGGGCAACTTTATGCTGATCGATTGATGTAGCCAGATGCGTTAATCGGTACTGGTCCATGGTAGACCGTAGTTCATTTTTAATTAACATTTTTAAATCAAATTTCTTAACACGTTTTGCTTGTTTATCTGTTGATTCGGGGGTCCCCCTTGTGGCCGGCTGGGCCCCTGTGCGTCGCATAACGCTGCCACTAAACCCGTAGTTGCGCCCCTGACCGTACACTGCACCAACCTCAACGTTTTGTTATTGCTTTCATCAATCTTCATCGACAAAAACACATTCCTGCGGAGGGAGCTGGTAGGAACGTTGAGTTGCTCGGTCAATGGCCAGGGTCAACGGCGGCGTGGTGTATTCCGCAAATATACCAGACTTTGAGGGCGGGCACAAGCCGGCGTGACTAGGTTAAACGTTGAGTTTTATAAGGGCACCACGGGGTGACCAGCCCCTCCCCACCCAGCCCCTCCCCACCCAGCCCCTCCCCACCCAGCCCCTCCCTGCACGACGGATGAACACAATAATCCCCTGTGGGCTGGTGTAACCAGGAGGTTCATACCAGTATTATGACTTGTACCACTCGCATGAGACTGCCTTGAAAGGAAAATATATAATAGGCGACCTTTCGGACAATGACCCATCTTCATAGCACTATTTCACCATACCTGTCAACCCATACGGTTTACCCGTATTCCTGTACAGGGAAATTTAGTTTTCAGGTCCAAATGGCGTGCAGCCGTAACAATACGGGATTTTGTAGGGTGAACGTTGAGATTTATAGTGACACGGGGTGACCAGTAAGGTCTGAATTGAGCTGTAATAAAGTAGGACTGATAAGGGGTTGATAGATGCTATTCTTGCATATTGCAATATCCCTAGGAGCTAAGAGTGCCGTCATGAGGTCTTTCAGTTTTTTCAGTTGCATGTATTTGGTATAGCCCTGTGAGCCATTCGGCTCTTGAATCGGGTGCAACAGCAACAAAAAAAGGTCTGCTGGCCACGAGAGGGCTTCAGGAGAGGATTCGTGTCGTGCTGTTCCTTTGTAAGAGCAACACATTACAGTGGTTTATTACGTGGTACATAATTTGGGTCGCATGATCACAGTCGAACTAGTGTGGCTTGTCTTTACTTTTCCATTCATGGAGACGTACGCATCGGCCTGTTGAAGTTCTGATGCGGTGAATTGTTAAACAGGTGTCTTGGAGCAGGAATGTCAAAGCCAGGAGGTATGTGATGCTGTCAGCATTCTGTGGGTGCACATCTGTGAAAACGAGATTTATAGTTCGTCCAATTCCTTCAGTATAAATAAATATTATGATTCGCTGTGGTTTTTGGCAGTCTGTTGGTTTTGAGGCACCTAGGTTCCAGAGGAGTTGCCAGGCATTACAGCCATAGTGAGTGCAGTCTTAAATCTGCAGTGACGTCTTCCTCATGTTTTATTCGTGCAGAGTTCAGGGACAGCGCGGTGCCCTTATCACGGTCACAAGTTCTTTTTAACTGTTTCCAAGAGTTCTGTTTCTAGTTGCCAACAAGGCTTCATAGCACACATTTTGCATGCTATGCAGAAGGGTGATTGCCTTGAAGCATTGCTTATTTTTTTATCTTTCCTTTTAGGGCATTGTTATTTATTAATGTGTGCAGTTTTTTGTGCTTTGTGACACCACTGCCAATGTCAGTGTCGCCAAATAACTGGTGTTAAGTCTGTAATGTGTGCGCACATGTATAAATACACATATCGCTGTTCATTCCCTAGTTGCGCTGCTGCGAGGGGGCTGCTGCAGAGACTCGCTGAGTGTCAGGCAGATGAGTGCCAGCAGGGGCCGGGCGCGCTGGGCCCAGCTGCTAGAGCGCGTGTCGCTGCGGGAGCGCATCTTCAGCAAGCGGCCCCTCACCGCCACCCCTTACCGGCCCCGACTGTCAACGCCAGACCTCCCCCCGCATGTGTGGAGCCTCTTCCACCGGCAGGCGGACGCGCTGCAGTTGGCACGCAGCGCCGCCCCAGCTCAGGTAAGGAGCGGCGTCACGAGCCCTCACGACGCCCGTTTCTGGTGTTCAACGCGTGCAACCAAAGAGACCAGGAGAGTTTCCCCATAGTTTAATTCCATGGATTAAACCGAAATTGTGTTTGGTGTTTACGTGCAAATGTAAACATTTGTTGTCAGATTTCGATTTAAAGCTTTCGTGACTGCAGGGATTCATCTTCTTGGTTCTTTCGGTAAAGTCACGTAGAAGGAAAATAAAATAATAAAAATAAAACCTAATTAAATAATTCTCACGACGTTTCGGCCACAACGCAAGACAGCGTCTGAAGACGCTGTCTTCCCGACAGACCTGTTCTTCACCTGAGGACGGCTGCTTGCGTTGTGGCTGAAACGTCGTGAGAATTATTTTATTATGTTTTATTATTTTATTATTTCCCTTCTACGTGACTTTACCGAAAGAACCAAGAAGATTTGTTGTCAGCTTTTCTACTTTACCTTTTTGAAAATAAAATATATTTTGAAATCCGATACATATGAGTATGGGTCGCATTGTGTGTGTGTGTGTCCAGGAGGTACACACGTTCGCATTTGAGCGTCCTAACCAAGCGACCGCAGGTACAAGAACCTTCCTGGTCACATCCTACTCCGAGTTTTGGCATTACTATCATGTGTACTGCAGTGGAAGGTACGAATACCCTCGGTGTACACTGTGTTGCACAGTACTTGTTATAAACTGCACCAGATATGTTATCCTATATACACTTTTAGCAGACAACTCTCCAATCATATTACCAATTGGCACATCCTAGATTGAATTTCCACTGTGCATGATGTTTAAAAAGCAGGACGACAACGCTTATATTTCTTTCTGAGGGAAGAAAATGCTGACCATAGGCAGAAGAGGAAGGTCTTGAGCCTGAACTTGAAAAGGGGCAGAGAGTTTACAGATTCGTGATGGCGCAGATGCAGTCATTACTTGGATTAGAGAAGAATCGCACTGCGTTCCCTCTCACCAACACGGAGAGACCTTTATTGAGCAATTACCGTAGATTGACTGGGAGTGATTGTGATTGGTGGCGTGTTCCTGTAGGGCATCACACCAGGCGCATTACTACGAAGTGATCCCAGAGGGCAGCACGTGTCACTTGTATTTTGATGTGGAGTTCTCACGGGAGAGCAACCCTGACCTGGATGGGGGTAGCTTAACAGCCACTCTCATTAAGGTGAGTAGCCCATAGTTCTGCACCCTTCACAGATTGAGGTATTGAAGGTGCATGAGGGGTCAGGGTCTCACGAGATGATTCCTGTCTTAGGACCAGTGTGAATTCCACATGGCTGTGGTTAAAGCAGCAGGTGAAAAAGGTAAAGGTTTAGCCTTGCAATAAACCTCCTGCTGGGCTATATCACCACCCAGGTTGACACGTGTGCTTGTGGGCAGTATGTCTGTGCATGTATTCAAGCGTGCTACGGGCTGGCTTGCACGATGGGAGATGTGCTATCTCTGGACTCCAGCTCAGCCAGCAAGTTCAGCCGGCACTTGCTGTTCCACATCCCTGGTGCAGCTTTTCAGGACAACCTGCAAGCCGGCACGTACACACTGCTGACTGCACACATTGCCGTAGCCAAAAGTACCAGACACAATCGTCATTGTAAAAATACAGATATTTCTTTGAAGATTTTTCTTCATAGGTTTTCACAATTAATATTATGATTCATAATAATTTCTTTAGATATACATATCGCGTTGATATAATGTAAATTTTAAACTATACACGATAAAAACTAAATCATTTGGCATATTCGCGCGTAAAGATAAGAAATTTGATCTGCTGTGTCGTGACGGAACACAATGTGAATGAGGCAAAACTGTTTGTTTATGATACCCATTGTCCAATGCAGTAGTTTTCTGAAAACATGTGACTGGATATACCCTGTCCTACATTTAGCATGGTTTTAGAAACCCCTTACATGTTGGAAGTTACTGAGCCACATCCTCAAGTAAAAACTTGAATGAACTCTGTGTCCTGCCGTTATAATTATTATTTTATGAGTGCCTTTCATAAAAAAAATCTCCCAAAGCTCTAGAAAATAAAAAAAACAGATTTGATTATAAACACAAAAGAATAACTACTGTGACAAGCAGGTGAGGAAACCCACAATCCTGTAATTTAACTGTGGGGGAAGATGGTACAATAATAATATGTCCTTACACGTGCTGTTGCCACACATACCAGTTGCTACACACGATCTACTTACTTCCATTTGTTCAACAAAATCACCCTATGACCAAGGAGACTGCACAAGCTATTCAACGTCCTTGTTGTAGGATATGTATACAATATATGTTTAAAGCATTATGTGTTTGTATTTTAACATATCTTTCATAACCCTTCACCCAATATTCAGGAAACTTTGTCCGAAAAATATTCAAGCCGCTTGCTGAGAAAATTTGCAACATTACACTGCAAGGTGTCGCAGAAGCCCATTCTGTGTGTCCGAGTGAAAGTCCAGCAGTGCAACATATTGCAGAATCCACATTCTCCCAGAGTCTTCAGGGAGAGTTTGAGATCAAAGAACAATTGGATATCCTAGAATCTCACAAAACACTGTGGGATGATGCCGACTCAAATGAATCATGGACTGAGAACTGGAAGAAGGAGTTCGACCAAGAGTCTTCACTCTGTGGTTCTGAAAATGATCAGGAGTCGAAGAGCAATGGGGAGTGCACAGGAACCCTGCGTGATCACACAAACACTCAGTTCACCAAGGCAGGAGAGATGACCCTGGACTGTTCTGCAACATGGTATCACCCTCAAGATCAAGGGACATCAGGAACTGAGAAAAGGTCACTGTGGGATATCTTGGATTACAGAGAAACCTGGCAATATCTTCTGGAGGCTTTGATTGTGAAAGACAAAATCGGACAACTCACCCTGGCTGTTGACCTAGGTAAGAAGCCTGAGTGAACTCGATATTAATCTACAGTTGTGAAATAAAAAATCAAGGTGATTTCCTGCTCAAATGAGGATAAAAGGAGTGCTCATTTGCTGTTTACAGCCCTGAGCCAGTGGATGAAAGTCCATATTCTATGATTGGAGAGAGTCCATCCATAGGACAACCACTATTGACTTCCTCACAAGATGGTACAGTACTCATTGTATCGTCCCTGTAGGGATGGTGGGCTGAGTCATCCCCCAACCAGGATTTTAACTCGTAACATTCCGATTGAGGGCCGCTCGGTTTCCAGCCGAGCCATCTGGCGAGAATCTTGAAATAAACCGTCTGTTAATTAATCTGTCTGCATAAAATATATATTTAATGCATTAGACTATGACCTTTTCAGTCCAATGTCCAGCAAAATTACCCATCGGACGATATATAAAATAAATTTTTACAGATTTTTCTAGGAGCGCATAGTTTCAGTAGTAATGGTTAAACACCAGCAAACTCTGGATCAGCTTTAACATCCAGTGTCTCATCAGCCGAGTCAGGCTTTCTTGAGCCAATTCTGATGAACTGCTGGATTTTTATAGGAAAGCAGCCTTTTTGTTATCTATGGGCCCTAGTTTGACACGAAACTTCATAATATATAACACAAAATGATCATTAGTGTTTGGCACGACTGTAGTGACATCAGGGATGTATGTCACTGTATGGTGCCGCCCCGAGAGGGCTGTGGTGCGCGATGCACTGTCATCGCGTACACCCCGTAGGCGGGTGTAGTACTAGCCCTAGCGGGGCTTGGTGTGCACTGGGTTAGCGCGGGCTCCCACAAGGGGACGTGGGAGAGTGTCAGCATAGGGGCAGGGTTGCCCCGGTCCATGACACTCTGGTTGACCCCGTAGACACGTGATCCGGAGTGTCCACAGAGAAGACCCCAGGTGGGGGGGCTAGGGGGCGATCACGTGTCCGGGGAGAGCTCTCGAGAGGGATCGAGAGAGAGCTGGAACGGTCGAGAATGTGGGCGGGGCCAAGGGAGGAGCAGCCCCGACCCAGGGGGATATAAGGTGGGTCCCTGAGAGGGACTGGGCTCGCTGTCATTCTACAAGCTGGAAGCTTGTAGGACGTAGAGCATCAACACGTGGTGGGTACCCGAGTGAGGGTCAGACCCTTCGTAGCTGTAACTCCTCCGTATAGGGTAGTTAGCTGGGTGGCCACCACCCTAGGCTGTATCTGGTGAAGGGGCAGAGTTACCCCTTTGTGTTACGTGTTGATGTTACAAATAGATGTGTTGCCTCGAAAGAACGTCTGCGACTCAGTTGGACTCACTACAGGACTATAAGTTACAAAATAAATAATTATAGTATGCCTAATTTACATATCTGTCCCTCGAAATATAAAATAAAAGTTTATTTTACACATCCCATCAACCACATTTTTATCCCATTATAAAATACATTTGGGGCATCGTTTTTTTTCTTTACGTTCATCTTTGTCTAGAAGAGCTGTTTGCTTTGTTCCATATGATTTCTTGTACAGAATGTAGTGTGAAGTCTTACACAAAGGCATGTGTTCTCGCCATACAGGTGTATACACCAAGAACAGGAACTTCCGATTGTATGGCTCATCAAAGGCAGGAGTGCTTGTCCCACTGCGACTGGCTCCAGATGACAGTTATGTAGCCCAAAGACTCCCTGCATGGGGGGTCCATAGAGCCAGAGAGACACTGCAGTCCACGGGGACAACCAGAGCCTCCGGAAGGCCTGCGTGGTCCTCGGAGGCCAAGAAGCACGTGGGGCTGCAGGAGAAGATATTTTTGGCTTCACTTATCACCAATGTCGAGTGAGTCTGACATCTTAACATATGACAAGTGGGTGCAGCGGGTGTGGATGTATAGGTTGCCTGATTGTTTTTTTATTCTCTTTAAATAAAGACTTTTAATATGCTGGAAATTAGATCTTCATTAAAATAATGGTTATTTAAAATGAAAGTTTATTTCAAAAAGTAATCCTATAAAATATCAACATTTATATTTCTGATTATTCCATGCTGACGACACTATTGTCTGCCTATAATGGAGTGTTTTTTTTATTAGTTCACACAATCTCAGGGTAGCTGGGCTCTCTTTATAAATGGCTTTGATAATATCTAAATATTTTTTATGAAGGCCTTGGTTTGTAAGACCTTGGATGACTGGATCGGTTTCCACTAAATCAAATGCCTCAATCTACAAAAAAACATGCAATCGTGGTATTAGATATTCATTTGTATTTTCTTGAATCTGAATGATAGTATGTAAGTAGTCAATAGTAGAAAACTTATTTTCTAAATCCAGTTGACTTACATGGCTGGTTGGCCTCTGTCTATTCGATTCTCTGTGGTCTTCATAAACACTCTATACATGTGTGGTAATACGCTAATGGGTCTCTCATTCTGAATGTGAGCTTGTCTAACATTTTTAAGAAACAAAATTAAGGGATCATTCCTCAATTGAGATTTAATTTATGTATCAATGTTTAGTAAATAGTTCTGCTGATTTTGATGCTTGTGTAAGAATGTGTAATATCCATCACCGGCTCAGAGCCACCAATGCAGGTGAACACTGCCCTGTGTTCAGTAGAGCACAGAGATGCACTGTCATTCTGTATGTTTTAATGTATTATTGTTCTCTATATGCATCTTTGTTCCAGTGTTATTCTGAATAGATACGTTTTGATATTTGTGTGCATTATTGTTGCGTATCGACACCCATGGTATCTGTATCTGAATTGTGTAAGAACAATTTGTGTTCATGTATATGGTGTTGCTTAAATGCCTCAGCAATGCAAAGTGCTTTACATCATATCTCATCTCAAACAATCCCATAGGCACCCCAAATGCCAGCTGTTCTGGCACAAAGGATCTCGGCACCGGGCATAAGTTTGTCAGTATGGGGCCATAATTACTATGTGTAATCCTACTTGAGTAATTTGCAGGTAATTGTATCTCGAATTCGGACCGTGATGCCGGCAGACAATGGCCTATTTGTTTTTAATTATATTACGCGTGTCTCTAACGTCCACTGTGGGCAGTCTGCCGGAATTGACCAGAAAACCTCTGCAACATACGGCGAACACGCCACCGTTGGGCCACATCACCTCATGTATGTGCGTGTGCGAACCTTTGCATGTGAATGCGATAGACGAACCCCAGGCCTTCACGTGCTGAGCTGCCTCGGTTCTCCCATGGACACCCACCGGACAAACACCTTCGCTGCAAACAATGCTCACGGTGACGCCAAACGTGAGTTAAACTCTTTGAGCTGATGTGTACCTTTTGCTTTATAGGACGATTCTGAAAATGCTGATTCGTTCGTTAGTGGCTGGGCACAACGTTTCAGAACGTGTGTCTGATTTTGATTAAGCCCGTATAAATTCATTTCTGTCATTCTGCCTCCTTGTCACAAGGGATAGTCGTACCATTCCCTCCTCTGATCCCTCGGCCACATCGATTGATGGAAACGAACCGCATCACAGCATCATGTGGACACCTCAGATAGCCTGTGCACAAGTGGAGACTTGGGGACACTCCACAGTGCTAACAGGGCGAACAACTTCTCACTGTGGTGCATCTGGTGAACAATACTCGACTGTTATGCATTCCCCAGAAACATCTCTTGAGATTTTCTCCTGCATCTCTTTAACTTCAGACAGCACAATCTAGATTTGAAGTTTTCGTGACTGCAGGGATCCATACTCTTTGGTTCTTTCGGTACCTACGTGACTTTACCGAAAGAACCAAAGAGTTCCGACAGTACAATGTTGATCTGCCTCCATGTGACATTTTACTTGTATATTTTTCCCCAGTTAAAACGAATAATAATTTGCTAATGTATTCAGGAAAGCCACATTGAGTCGTTGGACTCTTTTTCAGTTGAGTCCTGCATTGGGTTTTAATTTTAAGGTGCATTCAGCCAATTAATGAGTATACAAGTGGGAGGAAACCCTGGCGCCCAGAGAAAACCCACACACGTGAGGAAGCAACACTCTATCCACGTGTAATAAAGGACTCAGACGCTTCTCTCTGACTCCGTGTCCTTTATTTGGGGTTCGCGTTCTCCTTCCCTCACGGCACTCCTCCTGAGACTCTCTGCCTGGCAGCTCCACATCTGCCTTCGCTCCCGTAGCCTTCCGCGCTCCTGCAGCTCCGCTGCAGGCTCTTGGTGCAGCCCTCTGGCTGCTCTCACAGCAGCTCCATCGCTGCTCCCTGTTCCTCCGTGCGTGGCGATCTCGCCACCTCCCAACGTCAGCCCTTCGTGGCCTCTGTGGCTATCTCGCCATCTCCTACCTCAGCCCTTCGTGGCCTCTGTGGCTATCTCGCCATCTCCTACCTCAGCCCTTCGTGGCCTCTGTGGCTATCTCGCCATCTCCAACCTCAATCCTCCACTCTCTCTTCCACCCCGCTGGCTGGCGCCATCATGAGCCCCTTAGCCACCAGGCTGAGGCACGGCGACCACCCAATGTGTTCACCACCCTTCACTCCCCCGACTGACCCAGATGGCTTCCTGTCTCCCCGCTATAACTTCTCCCCCTCATGACCCTGACTCCTCCCTCTCGGATCGTCATATCCGCCCCGCCTATTTACGCCCGCATTACACTACCCTCCCCCGTAGAGAAAATTCCAGCCGTCCTCGGCTGAAACAGAACAAAATAATGCGGGCGAAGGCATCACAATCAGGAGTCCCCCAGACACAACGGAGATTATAAGAACAACAACACAAGTAACAAAAGGGGAGGTATCAGGAACTGGAACAGAACACCGGCCTGTCCTCCGCGCAACAACAACAAGAATAAGAATGGCACAATGCACAACAACGGCAACTGACACGCAAGAACGGCCAACGCGCACAACCCAGGAATGTGATGTTTTAGTGCGTGTCCATGTTGCAGTTCCATCCGCTCGGCCCAAGTCCAACGTCAAAGAGCAATGGTAGAGCAGGAATGACGAACAGGCGCTCAATCGCTCCTTCAAGTCCTCGTCCAGTTAGCACACCAGGTAACACCCAGTGTGGCAGGCACTGAAGATCTGTGACGAGAAGGAGAATCCAATCCCCTGAGGCACAACACAACAACGCAGATCCACATGTCGTACACGACAGCCACCCGGCCCCAGGGAAGTGGAGATGATGTAAATCCGGCCCGCTTAAAAAAAACCCCATAAATACCCAAAATAAACGTGATGGATGCCCCAGTATTTACATTTTAACAACAATATTATTTACACGTAACAACAACAACAAAAAAAAAATTCTGCTCTTACCCACCAGCAGTCCTCCCTTGAGGACCAGCACAGACCTCGGACGTACACAGCATGTACCCACAGTCACTCTCAACAAACCAACAAAACGCCTAATCGCACACCCTCGCGTGGAGAGAGCCACGCTCCCCAGCGGTAACGTTTAACTCGCCGTAACCCTCACCGTGGTCGTCAACCCACAGCAACATCCATTTACCATACTCTCGGCTAGTGCCATTTCGGGGATGAGCAGCACTCGGCCATGCTCCTCCCTTACTATCCCATCAGCGATGGACACACACCAGTCTCGTATAGTCTGACGCTTTATAGCCCAGGGAAGGTTCATCCCCCGGCAATGCCAGACCCCATGGACTCCCCCCACGGGGCAATGTTCTCTTATAGAGACAATAACACCCTAACCCAGATCCCGTGAGCCCCCGGCACACCAGGTTCAGTCTGCCACCGCACAACTGAACCATGACTCCCCGAGCCATATGAGCACATGGCCCATTAGTTTAAGACATACCACGGAGGTTTCGCCTCCGGGCTGTCAGGTCAGCCATCAGCCATAGGCCGATGTGACCACAACTCATGCATCACCCAATCAACAATGGCAGGCATAACAGATGGAATATTTGCCCCACCGCGGTTTTTCCCGCGCGCTCAAAATGGCGGCCCCCTTCGCCCAGCGCGTTCGCGCAATAACTCACGCGCTCTCAAAATGGCGGCCCTTTGCGCAAAGCGCATCGTCGCCATACCCCGCGTGCGCGCAAAATGGCGGCCCAACGTGCGAACACGTGGCCAGTTTTCCCCGTGCGTGCTGTCCGCATCCCCCGTCACGTTATAACCCCCCCAACGATAGACGCACAGCCCCAGCTTGCTGCGCACAGCAGTCATATCGTGGAAATTTTAACCAATATTTTACCAACACATTGGTTACACACACCAACCCGCAAGCAACTCCTGGCTGCATGCAATCAACCAAATACGCGACGCCACTTGGCGCCCATTTACGATCCCATTAGCATTAACATCTGAGCCACCCACAACGGCGTCATCGCGCACCCTCATTTTCAAAAAGCTCAATTACCCCTATAATATACACGCAATCTCGTGTGCACAACACCCATACAACCAAATTTTTGGGTCCCCCTCTATAATATACACGCAATCTCGTGTGCACAACACCCATACAACCAAATTTTTGGGTCCCCCTCTATAATATACACGCAATCTCGTGTGCACAACACCCATACAACCAAATTTTTGGGTCCCCCTCGAATTTGTTACCAATTCCCAACAGGTACGCACAAATAATAACAATCCCAATTCCAATAGTCAACCACTGCATCGCACCCCATAACCGTACAGAACAGTGTAACAGCACATGCAGTCAGCATATCGCGATCACACGCGTACATTTAAGCACAATAGCAAGCAGATCTGCAGGCAACCAACACACCATTAATCCTGTCGTAACTTTGCAGCAACACAATTATTCTCTCTCATGCAACAACCGCATCGCACACAGCACCTCGCAGCACAATACACCAAAAAAAAAAAAATTTTTTTCTTTCAATTAAGCCCGTCGCGCACGGTAACCCACGAGATGGTACAGCACAGGATACCCGACGCTCCCAAGTTAATAATTAACTTCACCATCAAGATAACAACTCCACGCAGCAGCGCACACACATTATTTGACACTCAGCAAACACAGCAGACTCTCCGTCCATTCTCAACACACGCACACACTTATATTGACACCAAGCAACAAGCAGAAAGCGCGTTCATCGTTATTACACACACATACACACAGTCCGAACCGCGCTCCGCACAATCGAGTCATAAGAGAAAAAAAAACAAAATCGCCCCCCGGCCCTCGAAAGATGGGTGAGGTGTGTGTTAAGGCCGGGTGCGTATCGTTACGACTCGCCCGGGGCTGCAGCAAGAAGAGGACGGCAGGGTGGCAACTTGAGACGCCTCGCAGAACTCGTTCGGCGACTTGACTGCTCCGTTGTCACGCACCCGAGCCAGGACGGGAAGCTCCCGCCCCAGCAGCCGCAGCATCGTCCTCCTCTCCTCGCAGCTCGTCCTCGCGCAGCAGCTCACTGCAGGCTGCTCTCCCCGAGGCACCTCCAGATGGCAGCGCAAAGCTGCGTCACCGCCGCGATGTTGAATGGCGGCGTCTCCCCACCGCGGTGAAGACAAGATGGCGGCTTCCCGCCTTTTCTCCCCTGCCACGCCCAAGATGGCGTCTTCGTGCCACGTGGCAGATGGCGCTGGCAGCGCAGGAAAGGCGGAGGCCTGCGGATCACCACCGGGCCTCCCCGACGCCGTCCTCGGCGTGGTGAACTCACACAGTTGCGCCAGCACGATTTTCAAGGTCTCCATCTGCGCCGCCATCTGTCTCCATCGTAAGTTGGCATCCTCCGGCACAGACAGGTCCACCAACGCGGCGACACCTTGCTCACCCGGACCCGTACTCGTTCCAGCACAGATCTCCTCTTCCATCGCAGGCAGGTCCACCGTCTGAGGAAGGTCGTCGTCGTCTGATGATGTAGCAGATGATGGCGCAGGAATATTCTTTTTTTTTTCTTCTCTCAGTTGTTTTGAGATGCCGTTTCACTTCTGACACCAGTGTAATAAAGGACTCAGACGCTTCTCTCTGACTCCGTGTCCTTTATTTGGGGTTCGCGTTCTCCTTCCCTCACGGCACTCCTCCTGAGACTCTCTGCCTGGCAGCTCCACATCTGCCTTCGCTCCCGTAGCCTTCCGCGCTCCTGCAGCTCCGCTGCAGGCTCTTGGTGCAGCCCTCTGGCTGCTCTCACAGCAGCTCCATCGCTGCTCCCTGTTCCTCCGTGCGTGGCGATCTCGCCACCTCCCAACGTCAGCTCTTCGTGGCCTCTGTGGCTATCTCGCCATCTCCTACCTCAGCCCTTCGTGGCCTCTGTGGCTATCTCGCCATCTCCTACCTCAGCCCTTCGTGGCCTCTGTGGCTATCTCGCCATCTCCAACCTCAATCCTCCACTCTCTCTTCCACCCCGCTGGCTGGCGCCGTCATGAGCCCCTCAGCCACCAGGCTGAGGCACGGCGACCACCCAACGTGTTCACCACCCTTCACTCCCCCGACTGACCCAGATGGCTTCCTGTCTCCCCGCTATAACTTCTCCCCCTCGTGACCCTGACTCCTCCCTCTCGGATCGTCATATCCGCCCCGCCCATTTACGCCCGCATTACACACGTACAGATGGAAACAGATGGAGATTAGGCCACTTGCTGTACTGCCTTCTGAGGAGCCAGGGTATTGGCACCTTCACACCCACGGGAAGGAAGTTTCAGATTTGTGCTATCCGCAAACCCTCGCCTCCACACTGCTGGATTACAGCCCACGTGTATAGCCACCACCACCTGGCTATGTTTGTAAAATACTCTGTCGCTTGACACGATTGGCAACACAGTCCTCTGTTAGGGTAATGAGCCAAGATTTTAATTTCAGAAATTCAGACAAGTAAAATTTAATGTTATTGAATTCTCTGCTCATGCAGCTACTTTGTGGACCTACATCAGGGGATTTTCTACCAGAAGTGCCACGACCAGGAATGCAAGGCAATAAATTTCCGCTCTCAAAGTGAGTTTGTTTTGATCATAAGTAGATATAAAGTGTATCTCTTTGTGATGACATTCAAATATAAAATGTAACTTTATTGTAAGAAATTGTAAATGTTTTCAACTCGTTGTATTGTATACTTGATGTGTCTGTGCCTTATCACTGTTGTATGGCTACTCCCATGATTACCGTTCCCCTCAACTTCACTTCTTTCACCCACGTTGAGGATTTGGTCTCTTTGTGCTTTTTTCCTCGCACTGCTCTATTTGAAATTCCCTCCCATCGTCCATTTTCCCCAAGCTCCTATAATAACCCTGCTCATTTCATCATAAACATGTTATCCAGTGCAACTTTGAAAGTGAATTTAACACTTCGGTTTTTGTGACACACATTGTCCTCAAGCGATCCGACCCAAACATCTATTACGAATTTGGATAGCGACGTTTATTGGTGGTTGCTTGACATTTAGGGCCTTTAAGGCCGGCACTGTTAATAAATGTTTGAATTCATAACCGATACTAACAATGCAGTGCTGTCATCACCTATTACTGCCTCTTAAATTACAATTTTAATAGATAATGTAAGATAATTATCATTTATACTATTACCTAACTTTAGCAGTACAATGTAATGCTTGTCCACTTTTAGCAGGAAGCATGTTAATAATAGTATGCAAAGGCAAACTGGGTATTGTAGTTGAGATTGAATAACCTTTGAAGACGTAAGTATCATTGCAGCTGATTTATGAAGCCATTTAGAATAATTGAATAACAAAGCTACGGAGTCAAGAAATCCGTAAAATTATTTTATTATTACGCTTGCTTACCCTGGAATAAGTCTCAACTTTTTATGGAGGGTACTGTCAAGTTTTCGCAGTAAGGGGGCATGTTGCTGTGTGGAATTCCAATGGAGCAATTTGCATGTATGTTTTCATAATTGGGATGTTTGTATTCAGTAACATGCAAACATAAATAGGTTTGTTTATTGTTTTCAGACTATCCTCTTCCTCAAGAGTGCCTCCCCAAATTCATTCTCTCTCGAGTAAGTATATTTAATGGCATTTGCCATAGTAGCAAAGCACTATATTGTTAGCTTTGGTTTGCCCATGACAAATCTGCATAAATGACGTTCTTCCTTAGGCACGTTGGTGTTGCTTCCATTATCAAGTTAAGTTTTTAGATGCTCCAATTTGGGTGCCAGGCCTGGAGATGATGCAGCAGCTCCTCCAAATGGCAATCCTTGACAGCACCGGCCTAGGCATCTCCCTCTGCCGTGTCAGCTGGGGCTGGGGGCATTGTCTTGCCGAAGCAATGCTCCAGCTCATGTAGTTGATGGAACAAGTTTCCAAAATATGTACGTGTGATTGTCTCCTTGTGTGGAACGAAGTCAATAAGGAACCGCATTGTTAGAACTATCTAGAGGGAACTCCATATGGTTATAAGATCAGAATCTGACTACAGAACTAGATTTATAACCGGAGGCCGACAGAAATGGTTATTTTGTTTTGGACATTGTCATTTTTGTTTTTCAGTAAAAAATTTTGTTTCGTTTATTTGAAAATATTTTCATTTGTGGCCATTTTACCGCTTGTTAAATGTAATAATACTTATCTACGTGTTATGTTCCCAAAAAACAGAGCGATTTTCCTGGAGAAGCTGGAGATAAAGAAGTTGGAGAAGACCACACACAGAACCAGAGACAGACACAGTGACAACCACCGTGGAAGTCACCCACGTGGAAGTCACCCACGTGGAAATGTAGACATGAAGACATACAGCGTTTGTGTGATGTAAATAGTAGACTCGATTTTCCACGCTAATGACGGGGAAAGACGGCTCCGGATAATTCAAAATTGCGGATAATCCAAAAATATCTATTTTTGCGATCTCTATGCCAAAAAAACACTAATATAGGTATAAATTGTGTTTAAGTCGCCCAGTTTCATGGATTAAACTCACAAAATTATTGATCGGATAAATCACTCAAAATGAGGCAACTGACGATTTTGATTGTTACTCTTTCGACTTAGAACGAATACTAACGATCAATGCGGGTGCTCGGTGGACAACACTTTCCTGCTCCCGCACAGAAGAGTTAGCTCAATCTAGATTAGAAGTTTTCATGACTGCAGGGATCCATACTCTTTGGTTCTTTCGGTAAAGTCATGTAGGTAGAAAAATTAAATCAATTTATTTAATTTTTTTATAAGTTAAATTTTTTTTTTCAAATAAGTGTATTTTATTTTTTATACCTACGTGACTTTACCGAAAAAACTAAAGAGTAAGAGTTAGTTCACTAAGTGGGTAGCAGGACCACACCAATCAAAATCAAACTCTGCCCGCTGTCGTAAAGGTATGCAACTATTGTACTGTAGGTGTTCACGTGGATTTCGGATTAACCTGAGCACACATTTGTTCAGTTTAAGCACGTAACTTGTAATACACATTTCCAAGAATTACAATGTATAACCGTGTTTAGATTATTAATTTAGGCTCGAGGGAAAATCCATGAGTTGTTAATTTGTTAAAATCTAAGGTGCGCGGTTAAACCGCAAATCGGATAAACCTAACACAGTCTACTGTGACGCTTGTGTGATTTGTACCTGATATGTTCCATATTTAGTGAAAATAGGTTACAACAATGTCTTGAAATATTAATAAGCTGAATTCGCAGTTGAATTTACTGTTTGAACATGTCTACGCATTTGTCCGCTGCTTGCTATACATTTACATGCATTTTTTATTAAAATTATGTTTTTGGTTTAGGTTGTACAGTTTTAAATCATTTAAATGTTTATTGTACCGTATATACTGGACTGTTACGGATTATGGTACGATGGCATTTAGGGGGGCAATCACATGACCCAGCTGTCGAGTGTTACCTGCTTATTGCAGAGGTTCACGGTTGGAATCCAGCAGCTGCCCTGATTAATACTGCGGGTGTAGTAACCGGAAAAATATTCACCATCTGCCTGACCGGACATTAAAGATTCTGTGAAGTTATTTGCAATAGTAGGCCATTGCGTGCCGGGGTCGTAGTCGACATTACAAATTGCCCGCAAATTACTCATTTGGAATAAACACCAATCATCACCTGCTGCAAAAACTTGCCAGGACCCTCTTGAAAACGATACATGATACTCAGGGTCATTCAAAGTCATCTGCCATGTGCCAATGGCAGATTCGGTTACATGAGCCGGTCAAGGATGTGCTCCCCCTTTCGTACAGCATTTGAAAAGCAACTGGCAAAACATGAGTAGTAATCCATCCATGGGCATCAGGAGTTGTTGGGTTGTATTTTCTTCCCTGCGTCAGTGTAACCGTGGCACGGTGAGCAGTCGCTTACGAGATGAAAAGATTGCAGTTCACATTCACCACAGGACGAACATCTAATTTTAAATCCTTTTTGAAGGAGAGAGATGCCACCTGCTGGATCTTGTTCACACATGATTAAACGCAAGATGTGCTGAGATATTTTCAGTCCAGACGTACATTTATTTGCAAAACATGTATTCTGGTTCGTATGTTTTTCTCAAAAAACAACATTTTTAAAAGTTAATCTCATTTCATAATTATTTGTTGAACATATGTACAGTAATTCCCTTTCCAGAGGCCTTGAATTATGCAGTGGACTTCACATAATCCAAAATGTTCACAGGACAATAAGACTCAATAAAGTTCACAGTTTAAATCATTGTGACTCATCAGATGATTCATCAGATGATTCATGGTTGGAATTCTCCTTAAAGTCCAGCTGGTCTGTAGGCACCCTGTCTCCCACCTTGCAGTGACGAATGCTCCGGTACAGATCTCTAGGACACAACAAACACAGGCATTTGCAACAGCTGCTTGTCCGAATGACAATCTAATTATAGAAAATTACTGTAGTAGGTTGTGACCATCATATTCCAGTTGTTGAGTACTAACATTGCACTTGACTGGCAGGATACAGTCTTTATAGAGTATAAACAAGCACGACCCATTGTTGATAGAAAAAACATCTTATTGAAGGGATTCCAGATGCACTTGGGTGGCGAATATCTTGTGTAGGTGAACTCACTGACATGATTTATTGTTTTCCTGCAGACACCCCACAACCACCCCCTTCTGATTGTGCCTACTTTCTTTCCTGCCATGATCAAAGTTGCTGAGCATATTCCATACAATCCCAAACATCCACATCCATCAATTTGTTTAAGTTAATCTGTGTGATAAATACAATAACCAGAATTCCAACAACCTAAAGCCGACTTTCCTATTCTTCTTAGGCAGTGTTGGGTGACAATTATTCTGCTTTTCTGGTTCTGTCCTGAGGATGCTTGCAGTTTCCATCAAAACGTCATATCTGATTGCTACATTCGGTTGAGGATTGCTATTAGGTCTTTCGGTAAAGCCACGTAGATAGAACATAGTAAAGTAATATAATAAAAATATTATTTTATTATTTGTTCTATCTCCGTGGCTTTACCGAAAGACCCAAAGAATATGAAATCCTGCAGTCACGAAAACTTTAAGTCAAGATTAAATTGCTATTAAACTTACCACTGAATTGATATAATTGGTATGTTTGAATACCACGTGACAATTTTATTTTACGTCACAGTTGGTGGAGGGTTTTGCGACACAAATTTGACCATGGCCCAACTCAGAAATCAATGATGGATGAATTATTGGTGGCGTCTGGGCTGCGGTGTTTACCTGCCGTGCCTCTGGCGTGTAAACACGACGTGCTCGATGGCTCCGTTGGAGCAGCACATGTGGCAGTGCACGTGGCGCGTCCTGCACTGCACCGGCTGCAAGATCCTCGGCCAAACCTGCTCAGCGTTTTCCTCACCGCGGCGGAAAATCAGGTACGAGAACTTCTCCGTTCTGGAAGGAAGTAGTTTCTGGAACGCAAGAGCAACGGCAAACGGCAATATGCAACCTCCCGCAGAAGTAGTTCTAATGATGTTGCTGTTGCCGATCGTTACATATCAGTGAATGTAATTGTTTGTGTTTGAAGATATCTTTACATTTTTTATGCATTCTTGGAATTACATTGAAAGACAAAGGAACACAGGGATTAAAGAAGATGCACAGGTTAATGACTGTCCAAGCTATGAAGAAAAATGGGTTGGGTGGGACAAGTCATGACTACGATGAATGGTAAAAAAAAATGACAAATTGGCAGTCAAGGAATAGAATGCATCTAAGATGATACCCACCAAGGAGATGGAGCGATGCGTTCGATTCGTGTACAGGTGCTGGATGGATCGTTGCATAGTAGGATCAGGAGAGGTGGCGTGGCTTGGGAAGGCCTTCATTCAGCGGTGGATTGATTATGGCTGATGATTAAAATATTTTTCTAGGAAAATCCCTTCAGATGAAACATCTCATTTTCAAGATTGTTCATATTAGCTTCAGCATTGAGGAGTCTACACTCTCCACCTGGCTGGTGTGGTGGTTGAACACGATGTGGTCGAGATGAAACGGTCCGAGAGAAATAAGTTCTCAACGTGGAGGGAGGAATCAATGAGTGAAGTTCACAGGAACCCTATCCATGGTGGTAGCCAGAGAAGAGTGATACAAAGGTGACTGACCGCTGGTGAGCGAGTACAGTGAAACCTTGGATTGCGAGTAACTTGGTCTGCGAGTGTTTTGCAAGACGAGCAAAATTTTAAATAAATATGAATTTGATAAACGAGCGAGGTCTTGCAATACGAGTAGTAGGTGTATACGCTTTGTCTGCCGAGCGTCACGTGATCACAACTGATATACGAGTGCTTTGGATTACAAACACGTTTCCGGAACGAATTATGCTCGCAATCCAAGGTTTTACTGTAACTGGAATGATTCAGTGAGTGCCGGATCGTCAATCAACCTAACGCTGACAGGTGAAGACATTTAAATGAATAAAGTGATTCGTCACATTTTGCAATCACTTACGGATTCAAAGTCAAACGGCTGGTAGTTCTGAGTGAAGTTGCACGGAATGAGCTTTCTCGCCAGCGTCAGTGGGCACTGCAGACCATGCGGACACTGCAGGGAGAACATTCAGTCAGCTGCAATTTCTTCCGGTGATAATTTAAGCGTTGATAATGTTCATTGTTAACGTGATGCAATTGGGTTAGGCCACATCACGATCTGGTCAAATGTCCGTTGCAAACAATTTTAATTGTCGCGTGTGTACGAGTGTTTACCCCACCAATTATTTTTGTTTCTTACCGGTGAGCTGAAACAATAAAACTGGTGCATTAAATGCCGATACACGAGACAATATAATTTGTTTGGCTATGTCAGGTCGTGTAGCATTACACAACCAAACAGTGACTGAACCATTAAGTAGTCCAACCCAAAAAAATCAACATCCAGCAATGTAATGTTATACTTGTTATCTGCAATGAAGAGTGAGGTCACGGATAAGGGGAGTTTCAGATGAGAGAAGCTTCACTGTGAGCAAGTAAATTAGGTCTACGGGACGTGGCTCCACCCTGCGTCACGTGACGCAGCGCCAAACGTACCCCCCCCCAATGGTTATTTGGTGAAAACAAATCACGAAACTCATCTCCATCACACGTGATGGAGTGGGTTTCTGGCTTTGTGAGCTCCATGGTGGTGGCTCAGAGCCAGCGGGGTCCCTATAGCTGACCTCTCGCTATACCGGTCTACAACCGTGGTGGAGAGTTATGGGGGGGCGCGATGGCATCAAGGACGGTGGCCGTGATAATCTCGTGACCTTGCTGCACAAGGCCTTGATGTAATTGTTTAAGGCCACTGTCAAGGTTGGGACTTCTAAGATCTCCGAGGCGATCACCAATGACTGGATCTGACCTACAAGACGGCCAGTCTACACCGTGGGAAGAGGTTCTCTTTCTGCTGGCGCTTCGACATTGGGACATCACTATTTCCTTGGCATGAATATCAAGCACAACGCATCCTCTATCCATATCCCCATCATCCTCAACTCCTGCTATCGTTGGGATAGTGGGGGTCCGGGATTCTCTGTCCTGTGAGGATGCCAGTGGATTTGTCTTATAAGACTTGGATGCAAAGGGAATCTTCAGTGGAGCTAAATTTAATCCCCCCCACCCACTACCGCATCACAAGCTGCTTGTGCATTGCTCACAAGGCATTTCCCAGCGATCGTCAGGCCGGCAATGGAAAAATAAATCTTGATGCTCATCAAAAGGGCGAGGTTGGCAGCCACACCCGCAGGACACGGTGGCTGCCATACTTACAGGTGCAAAGACATGCCCTTGATTTTCTTTATTCTGCTCATCAGTTTCCTGTTTACACACACCAAAAATCAGGGGTATTTCATCTGCCATTCAGTGGTGGGTTTTAAATCAACATACCTGAGTTTTATCCATGATACAGGGCCATTTTTAAGATTGTCATGAGTTCAGTTCTATGCTTATTTGTCAATATTTATCAGAGACAGGAGAGAACGTGCTTAAGAGGATGGCCATCAAACAGATGGAGTGATAATATCGATGCATGAGCAGGCGCAATATGGATTTTTGTGGCATCACAGCACCATGACGGATGAGAGGCCTTCATTCAGCGGACGATAGACCATGGCTGACGATGCTGAAACTATGGAGACTAGAATAACATCATTTCGAAGAACGCTGCCCAATTTGCTAGGCTGTTGATATGAGTTCTGAAATGACCGTACGTAAGAAGACTTAGTGAATTGTCAGCCACGTGGATTCTCTTCCCTCCAGTGACCCTCCACCACCCAACACCTCAATTCTCAAGTGAGCGTGGAGGTGGTGCTTATCTTGTCAGTTTTGTAAATTGCACATTCATATGGCACGGGCGAGCCTATCCACTGGACAAGCACTGCTGATTTCCCCACAAAGTGGTACTAATTTTATCGGCCTCGGTGAGACGATGGCCTGTCAACCCCAAACCAGGATTTGAACTCGCAATCTTATTGCGATGCGCTTTCTCTGCTGGCCGGTATGGGCGAGTAGAATAATGTATCGAGACAGTGATGGTATGCTAGGCGCAGCCCTTTACCTGCAGAAGTGCATCCCTTGCCTGCATCAGAATGGTATATCCACTAAGAGTTCCATTCTCAATCAGTACCTGAACACAGGCAACGAACGACAGAAACAGGACATCGACACAAGAGCAGCTGACATCATTGTTATGATCTCCACCAAACATGCACCCCTCTCTGACACACCCATGCTATAGTCACTCGACACTACATGAATGTTTCTGTACCTTGATTTTACGAGAGAGTGTTTTTCATAGTAATTTGGTCGGGCCAAATTTTGTTACTCGAATTTAATTGTACTGAATATTGTTGATGTTTGGGCACCGTTTCATATTTTTCAGATGTAACGTGGTTGTGTTTGCTCCGCTTTATATTTTGGTTGCTTTTGCTCCCGATTCATATTTGCCGGCAGACTGTCTTCATGGGTGCCGTGTATTATTTATTTAAAATGCATTTTAAAAAATATGTCTCTTGCAAAATCCCTCCAGATGGAACATCTCGTGCGCAAGGGGGGTCCAGGGTGTCAATTGACATAGCAAAAAAACCCGTAACGGCATGCGTACAAACATTACTTTTTTCCGATCTAAAACATTGAAAATGAATGTAACCTTTTACCAGAAAAGAGTTTGTTCTCTGCCACAGAGACAGCACGGCGCTGAGACGATCGGTGGCGCTTCCCAGCTCACTCAGCGAAAACGCTGCCACAACAACGTCGTATCGTACCTGCAGATCGCACAATGGTACGTTTCGTACGGCAGTGCACACAACAAGAACTCTCTATATATTTATATTCTTTAAATGCTGTGCAATTATATGTAATGGTTGACACTCAGAAACAAATGTAGTCCATTTATAAAATAAAGCACGCACGGTGGAGCGGAGTCAGATCCAGCTCCCGGGGAGCTTGACTTCAAGTGTTTACCACCACACTTGGCCAATAACTAAACACATTAAAATATAATTAAAAAGCAACGGATAACTTATGAGTGAAACCTGACACTGATGTTGTATTGAACTGTAACAAATCACCTTTGATGGAGGTAGGAATTGGCGAAAGTAGACCCTCTCAATAACTGACGTCGCATTTTCTTGTCCTCCTGATCAGCAGAGACGTGGAAAAGCAACGAATTCAGTTTTGAGCAAACGACAGGCGGCCGGACCATGCAGAGGTCAGAGCGCTCAGCAGGCAGCGCTGAGATCTCGCGTTCGAACCCAGGTGTCAGCATCTGCTGCCTGAGATTAAACCGCCTTCTCATGTGCAGTGAGTGGATGGTCTCAGCAAGGTCACCAAAGGTTACACAAAAGAAATACATTTTAACATCTTGTCAGATTAGAATTTGGATGTGAAGGATCACTTTAATAATGATGAAGACATGTTTTTGATAAAGCGTCCATTACATCTGGACTTCTCAGAGCGCTTTACATGCATTTATTGAATTATACCACATCTCATTTAAAAAATGTTAAAGGCACCCCAGTGACAATTGTTCCTGAATGGTACATGGTGACTCAGCACCCAGCCTGCAAGTGGGCATTTGTCTGCCAGTACAGGGCGTTGATTGCTATGTGTAATGCCAATGAGTAATGTGGGTAATTTTTTTATTTGGGAAAATTTGGATGGATAAACAATGGCCTACTTGTTTCCAATTACATCAGGGGGCTCTTAAACGTCGACTGTAAGCAGACGGCCGTACTTATGGTTATTACACCCGCAGTAGTAACCAGGGTGGCCTGCCGGATTCGAACAGCGAATCTCTGCAACAAGTGGTGAACAATGCTACCGCTGGGCCAATTTTTAATTCAGGTTTGGGGTTTTATGGATCCGCCGCAATGATGAGCGACAAGCTCAGCCAGAAGCAAGCCTGGTGAGGTTTGGCGAGGCTTGGCGAGCTCCGGGCCTACCCCGGAGCAGCACGTCGGCGAGCTTGTTCATGGCGGGCGACACGTCCACGCAGTAGTGATCCCCAATGGATCCTGACCAGGTCTCGTGAGCAGCCCTGGAGCACGAACAAGGCAATCAGCACGAGTGGAACAGAGACAAGACTCCGGGCAGCGACAAACACAAAGTTCCCACATATACCGTATTTTCCCGCATATAGCCCGCATATGCATATAACCCGCAGACACAAATACCCCGCAAAAAAAGCGTTTTGTGTAAAACAAATTTCAGATAACCCACACCTCCATATACCCCGCATGCATTCATATCTTTAACGTCGTTACCGCAGCTTAATTCCATGATATTAATACGAAGTTTACATTTGTAATACATTCCACCATCAATTGTTAACATTAAAATCTTAACGTGCAGAAAGAAACAAACTAACCGGAAACGAGTGAACTTAAAACAGTAAATAAGTAACAAAAGTAAATATCCAATAAATAAGTAACACATAACTGCTAGATAAGTAAGTACTGTTTTAGCACTGGTAGATTGCGCACTGCGCAGACAATCGTGGCACTACGGTAACGCCGTCGCTTCCCCCCCACCCCTCTCTTCCCCCAGCTCTCCCATCACCGGTAAACAAAGTACGCCCACTTCAAACTGTGTCGTTTCATTGCACAAACAATTCGAATCATTTAAAACGTGATAACATGTGCAATTTTAGTGTGAGTGGTTTATTCAGCAGTGCTTTAGTCAAAGGTAAGTGTTGCATAGTGGATAGTCCTACCATGACAAAATTAAACGAGTTATGACATGTCACACGTGTCAAATATTTTTGGGATAGCCCGCACCTCCATATACCCCGCAGGGTCTTGTTTTGTTTGTAAAAAGTGGTCAACCACGCGGGTTATATGCGGGAAAATAGGTACTCTTAAGAGACTGCTTTGGCAAGTGCTATTCGTGATCACCTATGAAGGCTGGCACGGTACACGAGGGGGTGGGGAGCCAGCACCACACCTGGCCGCCTTTGTCTCCCCGGTGCTGATATTCACACACTGCACCCGGTACTCATTTAAGGCCGAGTGAACTGAGGGGATGCCCAGGACCGGTTCAGATATTCGCTGTCACTTTTCTTGGTCATGAGCGCTAACCACTGCGCTACCGTTCCCCACAGCGAGGGAGCCACGGACCGGTGCCGTATCGCATGGGGGGGGGGGGGGCGCTCCTGTCCACTGAGCGTACGTGCCGAGCACGGGGCTCACTCCGCAGAGCGCATGGCCCCAACATGCACCATTCTCATTGACCACTGGTTCGTTTTCATCATGCATATTCACGCATTCAGATTAACACGTAGGATTTCACGACCAATATTATTCATTTGAGGTTTTTTTAACGGGAGGATTTCTCCACAACTGTGGCTGTCGCCTCATGAGGTTTGTTGTAATTACCGGCGAAATGTCATACTCGAATTGTAAATGTGCTGATCTCGTAACGAATGGTATGTTTTGCTTAAGTGACAAACCTTGCCAATTGGCTGTGTTGGGTGGTGGCTGGTTTAACGACACATTTATATTGACTCTATCTAACCCAGTAGTTTTTATTTATTCTACACAGATCAGCATTATTATCCATTTACAACTTGTACAAAAGACAAGTTAACGTGCTGTGTTTCTGTAGCATACTTGACATTGATTACGAATCATAATATTGACTGGAATAATTTACGTATTAAGTTTAGATTTCTTTTATATTTACAGGCATCCTTAAGGTTTGGTGGCATGATCATCGCCTTTGACCATGATGACATCTTGACCTCGATTCATGTAACTGTGCTAAAAGAGTTGTTCTGTATTGTGTGTGATTGTGCAAAACTGTGGAAAGTGGAAGCAGTTAACGTGCTGCGCTACAATCCCGGCAATCCGAGTTCGATTCCTGCTCACGACCAACACCAGTTACGATTATCTGAACCGGTCCTGGGCCTCCTCTAGGTTGACTTAGCCTTATAAGAGTACCTGGTACAGTGTGTAAACAACCATGTGCCGTGCCAGCCTACATAGGTGCCCTCTAATAGCACTTGCCCCAATAGTCATTTTAGGCTATAGGGGGATCTTTGTGTTTGTGTAGTGAGTGAAGTACAGCTCTAGATGTGATGCATGTGTTGTGCTGCAGAGGCTGTGACGTGGTGGGATGTGTGGCGCACCACACTGAGCTGCCTGTGCCCGAGCCGAAATCCAGGAGGGACGTGGGGCGAAAGTCGGGAACACGTTTCTTGATCTAGAACACAACATAAATGATTAAGCTCACATCACACGGGTCGGGCCGTGCGTCTATAATTCACGCACTGTATCCGCTAATCAAGTAATCGTTCGGTGACTGCTGTGAGCTGCACTGAAACAAATCGTACAAACGAGGCAAAGATACAAATAAGGCAGTAAAAACCAGGCAAAATAAGAATCCCTTATTGCAACAAATCGTGGCCGGAATTGTGGCCGTGAATCGAATCACTGTGGGGTGGTTGTTACACGACTTGTGCTTGGCCAGATGGATGTAAATGGATGTACTGGCCACCTTCATGTTGAATCCTAAGAATTATATCCTGTTTGATCATCATCATCATCATCAGCCATGATCAATCAACTGCATCCTGCCCTCGCCCATTAATACTTCGGTCACCAATAGTAAATTAACCGGGGAGGCCGCGAGTGACGGTAGAGGAGCAAAGGAGCCGCTCACCTCGGTGAGCGCACGCACAGTGGCCGCGTGGCACCCGCCCATGCGCGCCGCCATGAAGGTCAGGCTCATGGCCTCGTCGTACCTGGGGGCAAACGACACGCCGCGCCAACTTTTGCACGAGAGCACTCGATAACGCGAAACACGCAGCGAGTAAAAATGGCCAGTTATTTTGTGCGACCTAACCCAAAAACGTACTGTGATTAATTACATTGACGTTATAACAGTAACTTAATAATATTCTTGGTTCTTTCGGTAGATAGAAAAAAATCTAAATTAAAAGCAAAAAACCCACGACGTTTCGATCGCAACACAAGCGGTCTTCTTCTTTCCACCTAAAGAAGACCGCTTGTGTTGCGATCGAAACGTCGTGGGATTTTAGCTTTTTTTTTGCTTTAAATCTAGATTTTTTGTTTTCTATCTACGTGACTCTACCGAAAGAACCAAGAATATGAATTCCTGCAGTCACGAAAGTTAATAATAGTTTGGATATAAATAAATACGTCCGGCTTTACATTTCATTCGGTTGTTCAGGGGGACTCTGGGCGTGCAAATAAGGCCTATCGAGTTATCATTCCAGCCAGTTGGAGGTGCGAGGCTGACGGGTCACTGGGCGCCATGGCAGGTGGGTGCCTTCGCCTACCCGCATTGATAAGCGTGGTGAAATACGGTCGAATTTCTTTCCCTAAACGGTCATGGAGCATGAAATGCGGTTCTACGTCATTTGCAACACTTTCTCAAACATGATGGCGGCAGGGAGCGGGGATGTAAGGAATCACTGGGTAATAACGGGACGCCTCTTGGTTTGAGCATTGCTACATGCAATGCACGAAATCGATAAGATTTAGACGGCTATATGCTATGGCGCCATACATCGCATATCGTGAACACTCACCTGAGCATCTTCCAGTGATAGGTCACCTTACGCAGTTTCTGCAGTACCAGGCTTTCCACCATTTCATCTTGTTTCTGCTTTTCCAAACGATCGCCGGTTTCCTCAAACCCATCTAAAACGAAACAAATACACGAGTTAAACACTGTGCCTCCTCTCAGGACGAGTTGAGAACGGTGGCGTCGCCGCCACAGTAAAGCGTGCGGTCCTCGCGGCCGTGCCGCGACTACTCACAGCCTTTGACGACGTCGCGATGGATCTGCGATGCTCTCCTCTGAAGGGGTTGCATTTCGATTGGCAGCGTGCGACTCCACAGATAGCTGCAAAGCTCCTTCATCCGCTCTTGCAGATGTGGGATCTGGAACTCTGTCGACACAAACACCGGTCTTAAACCAAACACATCTATACAAGAAACGCATGAAAATGCAATAGCAGTTGATTACTTTAAACAATGATAGGTTACCTAATGACCAATTCATAACGGAACACGAATGATAGATGTTGAGCTTAACCGTGTACAGGAAAACACCATAATTAGAGATCAGTCACACTGGAAACCAGCCTCTTCCAATTCAAAGGCTCATATACAAGTTTTTTATACCATTGGAACCTCATTTGCCAGTAAAAAATATAATAGTTTTTTTACTCTTCTATCTGGCAACAAAACTGACACCTTTTTTACAAGGAGTCCTGTTTGTATAGACCACAATACCTGCAGCCATAATGCAAAAAAAAAAACATAACTCTGATATATATTTTTTACTGGCAAATGAGGTTCCAATGGTGTAAATGCTTACCCCGAGCTGTCATACTCTGATGGTGCATTGTCTTTGAGTTGTGCGCCTTTTGGCGTCATCTGGTCCAACCCATGTGAGACTAGGCTCTAAGGAAAGCCGTCTCAGGTGTGGACCAATCAACTTCAAGGACAGTGCATATATTATCAGAGTTATATTTTTTGTTTGCATTATGGCTGCAGGTATTGTGGTCTATGCAAACATGACTCCTTGTAAAAAAAGGTGTCAGTTTTGTTGCCAGATAGAAGGGTAAAAAAAAAATGATCAACTTGTTTATATTTACCTAAATAAACAAATTTGTCCAGTTCTTCTTCGTTTTCCGCTTACAGATCCATTGAGGACTATTATCTCTGTGACTGGGGAATGGAGTAGGCCAGCATGCTTCAGACACTTTGTAACCGGCGCAACGCATGCTTTTATTTCCACATTAAAACCATTACAGACCCTGGCCATGCATGGTTCCACGTTATTATTTTTCGATACAAATGATACACTGGTCACAATCGTCGCTGTACATGGGTGTGTGTTTCTTCATTAAGTGCTAAAATGATCTTGGATGGTCAAGTGGATGTTTTAAAATTCAATAGGTTGCATCACTTTGCATCCATATACATTGATTCTTATACTCAATACACTTCTTGAATCGTGTGTCTAAGAGTCTGTTTTGATATTTATTCCAACGATATCATGCCGGATCAATTACATCCGACAGATTTGAAGCTTTCGTGACTGCAAGGATTCATACTCTTAGGTTTTTTCGGTAAAGTCACGTAGGCAACAAATAAATAATAAAAAATAAAGAATAAAAATAATAGAAATAAAATAATAAATCACGACGTTTCGGAGGCAACACAAGTGGACACTTGATACAGTAATTTTAGCTGTGACGGTCCCACCTGATGACGGAGACTTGTGTTGCCTCCGAAACGTCGTGATTTATTATTTTATGTCCATCATTATTTCCATTATTGTATTATTTATCCTATTTATTTATAACCAATTTTTATTATTTATTTTTAACGACGTGACTTTACCGAAAAAACCTAAGAGTATACATCCGACAGCCCTGGACTCCAGCAATCACGGTCATCTGACGCCAGGACAAAGTGGCAACTTTAAAAACAATGCAAAGACCGAGGGCATCATCATCATCATCTTCTGGCGAGCCCACGGCGGAGCAAGGCGCGCACTCACTCGCCAGCACCACCTGCACCCCTTGCCGCAGGGGCTCGGGGATCTTCACGCTCTGCACGTGGCCGATGCCCGGGTGCTTCCTGAAGGACTGGAACTGTTTGGTGGATTCCTCCGCCGTCGCCTCTGCAATGCACTGGAGGACGAAAACACGCGCACAGGGGGGGGGGGGGGGGTGTCTGCGTTACGGGCAGTGTCGCCTGCGAGAGGTGTGCGTGGCGGAACGTCGGACCTCCTCCCCCCCCCCCCCCCCCCCGTGTCTCTCGTCTGCTCCTCTCCGCGTACCCGAACGAGCTGCCGGGGCTGAGGACGCCGCCAGCTGCAGCCGGCGAGGAGGCGCATGGCGCCCCGGGGGAGTGCAGCCGGCACGGCACGGCACGGCTCGGGGCGGAGGAACCCCTCGGGGAGAGACAGAGAGAGACACGGGGAGAGACAGAGAGAGACACGGGGAGAGACACGGGGAGAGACAGAGAGAGACACGGGGAGAGACACGGGGAGAGACAGAGAGAGACACGGGGAGAGACAGAGAGAGAGACGGGGAGATATCACAATGAGACACGGGGAGACACGGAGAGAGACACGGGGAGAGACGACAGAGACACAGGGAGATACCACAGAGACACGGGGAGACACAGACACGGGGAGAGAGAGGCAGAGACACGGGGAGATACCACAATGAGACACGGGGAGAGACGGAGACACGGGGAGACACAGACACGGGGAGAGAGACACGAGCAGAGACAACAGAGACACGGGGAGATACCACAATGAGACACGGGGAGAGACAGTCGCTGAGACAGAGGCACGGGGAGAGACTCGTGCTGTCTTTGAGACGCGAGCGCGCACTGTACGACGCGCGTGCGTCCCACGTGACCGCCGAGTCTACTGTAGTACAGTAGAGCGTCGCACTGTACGACGCGCGTGCGTCCCACGTGACCGCCGGGTCTACTGTAGCACAGTAGAGCGCGCACTGTAGCGGGGAGTTGCCGAGAGTTCTCTCGTTGGGTCGAACGATTCGCAGCTCACCAGCAACTAAACATCGATACTACATCTTCTTGTTTCTTTCGGTAAAGTCACGTAGAAGGGAAGTAATAAAATAATAAAAATAAAACATAATAAAACAATTCTCACGACGTTTCGGCTACAACGCAAGCAGCCGTCTTCAGGTGAAGAATGAGACACTACCAAACTAGGAGCTTATATATAAGCTGCATTGGGGGTTGAAGAGCGCCTTAACAAAAAGAATGTGCATGTGAAGAGGGATTTAGCATATTCATGGAAAATGCGTAGGCGTTGGGCGGGGGGGTGTCAAAGTCATATTATGCCCATGCATTATGCAGGATCAGCAGCAACCAAGGGGGGTGCAGGGATTAGCAGTAACAAAGGAAAGGAATGTTAATGATATGTAGCTGCAGTTACTCAACAACCACGTAGAAAACTAAAGTATAAACTACATAAAAAACTAAAGTATAAACTGCATCGCACCATCAGTATACTTCCTATACTCTATAATAAGCTGAGTTACTAACAGCAAGTAATACATTACAATTTTACCTCGTAAAAATTCTATAATATGCTTCCATCTAAACCTTATTCTCTTACATCACACGAGCATATACCGTACTATATACTGCCATAGATAAACCCAACATTAAATTATATACTGTATTGCTGTAAACCAACCTATATCTTATACATTAATATCACACTATGTATTATTCTACACACCCTAATGTGTATCGAAATGGTTTATTACGTCCTTCCAATGATTGCTGAGCCAGAATCCATCTTCTCGGTTAAAGTTGTCTCTGTGTTTGTATATGTGGATCGCCTCATGAACGAATCTCTCATGATAGCCAGATGGCTTGCAGAGAACCTCTGTCTTGGAGAAGTCAATATCATGTGAGCCCACTGAGTTGTAACAGTGATCTGCCACGGCTGAGGTGTTAGTCCTACCGTGTTTCAGGTCAGCTTTATGTTCACGGATGCGGTCCGAGACATGTCGTTTGGTTTCCCCAATGTAACTGCTACCACAGAGGCAACTTAGTTTGTAGACGCCAGGGTACTGTATGTCTGGAACCACATCTTTTACAGACGGTACCAGATCACGGATTTTATGTACTGTGTTGAATCGGACCTGGATCTTGTGTTTAATCAGGATTTTGGAGATCTTTTTTGTGACCCCAGCAATGTAGGGTAAGGTGATGGTCTTGAAAGGCTCCTCAACAGGATCCTTCTTGATGGTTGGAGTGATGGCTTTGCGGATTGTATAGTCGGAGTAACCATTTGCCTTAAGAGCTTGGCGTACGTGTTTGAGTTCACTGGAAATGTGTTCATGGTCGGAGATGCATTGGGCTCTATGATATAGAGTCTTGATGAGGGAATTCTTCTGAGATGGATGGTGGTGGGAATCCGGTTTTAGATAAGCATCCGTGTGGGTGGCTTTCCTGTAGACAGAGTGGCTCATTGAACCATCAGGTCTCCTTTTGATTAGGACATCCAAAAAGGGTAGCTTGCCATCATTTTCGACTTCCATGGTGAATCTGATGGCTGGGTGTATGGAATTGATGTGGTCGAGAAATTGGTCTAGAGCAGGCCGGCCATGTGGCCAGATGACAAAAGTGTCGTCTACGTACCTCTTCCATAAGGTCGGGCGTAGAGTGGCAGTCTGGATGGCGTCCGTCTCAAATTTCTCCATGAAGATGTTGGCTACAACCGGAGATAGGGGGGAGCCCATTGGGGTGCCCTCAATTTGCTTGTAGAAGGTTCCATTCCAGGTAAAGTATGTATTGGTTAAGCAGTGTCTCACCAGGGGGGGTACCCCAGCATTCAGTCCTTGATGAACCAAGTCTTCAATGATTGCGATGGTGTCAGGCACAGGTACCTTGGTGAACAAGGAAACCACATCAAAACTGACAAGCAGGTCGTCTGGGGACAGGGCAATCCCCTTGATTGTCGATACCAACGCCTACGCATTTTCCATGAATATGCTAAATCCCTCTTCACATGCACATTCTTTTTGTTAAGGCGCTCTTCAACCCCCAATGCAGCTTATATATAAGCTCCTAGTTTGGTAGTGTCTCATTCTTCACCTGAAGACGGCTGCTTGCGTTGTAGCCGAAACGTCGTGAGAATTGTTTTATTATGTTTTATTTTTATTATTTTATTACTTCCCTTCTACGTGACTTTACCGAAAGAAACAAGAAGATGAATCCCTGCAGTCACGAAAGCTTTAAATCGAAACTCGATACTACATTCAACAACAACACCACCACCACACCACCACCACACGCTCACGTGGCTGTCAGTCCCTGATCAGTGCCCTAGCTTCTACTGGTAGGAACCACCTGGTTCCACCAGCCCACAGGGGATTATTGTGTCCGTCCGTCCGTCGTGTATCCAAAAATGGGAGGGGTGGGGAGGGGCTGGGTGAGGTGGGGAGGGTGGGGCTGGGTGGGGGGGAAGGTGGGGCTGGGTGGGGAGGGGAGGTGGGGAGGGTGGGGCTGGGTGGGGGGGGGCTGGGTGGGGGGGAAGGTGGGGCTGGGCGAGGTGGGGAGGGTGGGGCTGGGTGGGGAGGGTGGGCCTGGGTGGGGAGGGGTGGGAAAGGTGGGGAGGGTGGGGGGGTAGGGAGGGGAGGGGCTGGTCACCCCGTGGTGCCCTTATAAAACTCAACGTTTAACCTACTCACGCCGGCTTGTGCCCGCCCTCACAGTCGGCCAGATTCGCGGAATACACCACGCCGCCGTTGGCCCTGGCCATTGACCGAGCAACCCAACGTTCCTACCAGCTCCCTCCGCAGGAATGTGTTATACAGATCAATTCAGACCTCATTGGCCTCCCCTCGTGCTCTTATAAATCTCAACGTTCATTCTACAAAGTCCCATCACAAGGGAGAAACACAAACAAATACACAAACAAGAATGGTATTGCCCGTATTGAAACAGATGTGCGCCGCGTATGGACTTTACCGAAAGAACCACAGAGTATGGATGGATTGCTGCAGTCACGAAAGCTTCAAATCAAGATTGATGGGTCGACAGGTTTGAAGACTCATTTGGTCTTCTCCGTACGGCTGATGTTGATGAATAGCAGCATCTGAAATGTTCCATCGAGGCGTCTTATGAGCCAGATGATTGCACCATGAATCGTGTACGAGGTTGAAGGGTGTTGCATTTGTGACGATGTGTGACGAGGAGTTTGAGGAATGTGACGTCACATAAAAATGCGCAACTTTAAATAAATATAGACAACACGTTCTACTTAATTAAATATACTTTTTAATAAATGTTTTCTCCTACAACATCAGAGTGCAGCGGCACATTAAATACGCACTACAATGACAATAGTTTAAAGCGATTTGAAGCATGTTTTATTTTGGGGGGGGGGGCAGAGCTTTGTGACGTCATATTTGAGGGGGGGGCGGTCTGACTTTATGTGACGCCGTGTGACGAAGAAGGGGGGGGGGGTTCAAAAATCGTCCAGAATCGCGTGGCGTCATTTATGGACGGCCCCCAAGGAGAGACAAATACAGAGACGGGAACGCAGAGCGACAGACGCAACGAGAGACGCACATCCAGACGACAGAGAGAGATCCTGCAAGGGACAGATCGCAACGTAGATACTGAGAGAGACGTGGACACGGTGAGACACTTGAGACTGCATCGAGAAACGCAGAGACGTACACAATCGCAACCAACTTCTTCCGTCATCGTGCACCACCGCTTTGTTAACACATTCCTGCGGAGGGAGCTGGTAGGAACGTTGGGTTGCTCGGTCAATGGCCAGGGTCAACGGCGGCGTGGTGTATTCCGCAAATCTGGCCGACTGTGAGGGCGGGCACAAGCCGGCGTGAGTAGGTTAAACGTTGAGTTTTATAAGGGCACCACGGGGTGACCAGCCCCTCCCCACCCAGCCCCACCCTCCCCACCCAGCCCCACCCCTCCCATTTTTGGATTCACGACGGACGGACGGACACAATAATCCCCTGTGGGCTGGTGGAACCAGGTGGTTCCTACCAGTAATAGCACCAGAGTGCAATGGTCGCTGATGTCTGGAGCCTCCTGACCTCACCATAACCCATAACAGCATTCCCGATGGAGGCCATTCACTGGGCCTCCTTCAAACAAAGGCAAACAGCGCTTAAATCATGCTCCTTACAAAATGTTTCGCAACTGGTTAAACGAATATTTCAGATTCAGTGGGCTCGGCTGCAAAATGTAGTTAGATATAAATATGGGCGAGACAAAAGTCGCGTAGAACAAGCTGATTAAACAACTGAAGTCTACTTTGAAGCGAAATAACAGAAAAATACAGCGGTTAAGACCAACCACTGACGGCGGATGGAGATTGATTCGCATGGTAGGGGGCCGTCCATAAATGACGTCACGCGATTTTGGACGATTTTTGACCCCCCCCCCCCCCCTCGTCACACGGCGTCACAAAAAGTCAGACCCCCCCCCCTCAAATATGACGTCACAAAACTTGCCCTGCCATACGAAGCGGGTGAGCAAGCGGGCTGCTCCCCCGAGTAGCCATTCCGGGGGCTGGAGGGCTTTCGCTCTGTGCCACAGCACTGCGACCGCCAGATTGTTGTTGATCAGCACCCGCCCCCTGAAAGACATCGCCGGGGATAGGCGCGCCCAAGCCGCCAGCTTCGCTTCGAACCGGTCCCCCAGTTCGGGCCAGTTTTGCTGGGTGACGTGGGGCTTCCCGAGGTGGACGCCCCGGTATTTGACGCCGTCGGTCTGCCAGGCGACACCCCCTGGGAGGAGCACCGGGCACGCGGCACCCTGCGGCCCCAGTCGCAGAGCCGTGGTCTTCGCCCAGTTGATCTTAGCGCCGGACATCGCCTCGTAGGCCTCCACCGCCCGG